CTCACGCATTATGTAAAAATGGAAATGAAAATAGGTTGCCACATATTAAGAAGTTCGCCAAGTGAACTAATTTTGGCGCAAACTAAATAAAAAGCGCCAACATAAATTGTTGAATTTCTACGTAAATTTCGCAAATTTTACAAAATTTAATATTTAGGCATAATTTGAGTCGTAGAATCGAAATATGTAAAAAAATTGGTATGTTATTTCAGAAAAAGTCTGATTTTGTGTCAAAATACCTATGTTAGAATAGTGCTATATATAAATCTAATATATATCTTAAGTCGCGCTTTCGAGACATGGAGAACGCAGTTTGAATTTCGTGAATCAGCCCAGTAGAACAGGAGATGTAGAACTGTAACATTTCCCTTATATCAGTACTATGCAGCTGTTGGAATTGTTTCAATTTTTCTTTTCTTTTAGAACTCCTTTCAAGATAATAAAAAATATCAACAATGCCTTCATCTATACTTATTTGTAAAGAAACTGCACCTCTTTCAGCTACTAAATTTAAAAGGTCACAGGTGGCCCTCATAATTTGAAAATCTGAATTTTCCTTTTTTTAAGATGCCTGCAATACCAGTCTTCAAGTCTACCATTACTGGTAGATTATAGGCATTAAGTGCTAAGCAATTATCCAGAGGAATTGTGTTTTCTTTTAAAGATTTAACAATTAGCTGTGCTATATTAAAGCCTGTTGAATGTGCTTTTAAAGTGGGCACATAAAGAAAACTACACTCAATTTCTGAAAACACTGGATTAAAAAAAGAAACTAGATACAGTTTTGAATCGGTATTATTGCTATCATTCGTAGATAGGCAGAATGAAACTGTTCTAATGCAATCAATAGATTTATTTTTCACAGCGATTTCTTTAAAGTGTTGCAGGCATTTTGGTCCTTGCAACTGAGCAGTTCTTAGCAATTTCGCCATTGGGAAACATTTTCCTAATAAAGCTGCAGCATGATTCGAGGTATTCAGTGGCAGGTTGTGTACTCCAGTAAAAAGGCAAAGAACAGGCTCTCTGCACTAATAACTTTTTTGTTTGTTTGTTTGTTGTTATTGTTTGCCCCCCCACACAGGAAAATTTCTTTTTTCTTTTTTTTTTTTTTCCAATAGAACTCATTTTGTTCTTATGTTTTTGAGTACACATGTTTGAGAACATTGGCCCTTGCACCATGTAAAATCGAAAAGATGCCATGACAAACGTTACATTCCTTAAGGAAAAATAATACAGTCAAAAGTCTTTAATCCGGAATCGTCGGGACTTCGGCGATTCCGGATTATAGATCATCAGTTTAAATCTGGTACGATGGCATGCAGATATTATAAAATTAAAAATATGAAACCGTAATTTATAAAATAATGAACAATTATGATCTAAAGGGTATCAAAATTTACAAAAAAAGAAGCTTAATATTTATTTGTTTACTTTATTAAACATTTCTTTCAACGCGCGCATGCGTAAAGCATACATTACGCATAGCCGAAATTAGAAAATTGCAACCAGAAAACTCTTTGATTTGTATTCGTGATATTTATAATGACCAGGAATTTGATTTAAATCATATCAAAGACGGAGTACATCGAGATGAAATACTACATTTAATAAGGAATTATAAGCCGAATAAAATAAAAACATCTGCCCTGAAGATAACGACAGTGCTGACAGATCAACTTCCAGTTCATTGCGCACTGCGTCCCCCCCCCATGCAGAGCAGCGTGAAATTGATAAACAGGTTTCGGAACGGTTAGATAAACAAAAAATATGCCTTATCCATTTTTTGTAGCAATTCCACTTTTTGTTTGATGGGCATCGAAACATACTTTCGTTTTGTAGATCCTTTGGGAGCTCCAGCATCGGAAATTCTATTTGACATAATCGAAAGTTCAAGCTTACTTTTATAAAATTGCTCTTACAGTCTGCAAAAAATAATAAGCTGGATCCAATTCGAAGATTAAGGAACAACGCAATCATCAACATTAACTGAAATAGATAATTAGATAATTTTAGCTTATACCGTCCGTTCTACATTAAACGCGCACGCGAAAACGTATTCTGTGCTTGCGCAGACGCATATGCGCCGTCGTAAAGGTCTTGCGCGCACGCGTAAACGCCTATGCGCATGCGTCAACTCAACGCATGCGCAGAAAGTTTTAACTTTGAGGTCCAGATTATGGGTGTCCGAATTAACAACTTTTGACTGTAGAAGGAAAGTCATCTATCTATTTGTGTACAATTTTTGAAAAGTACATGAATACTTTATCTCTTTCACAGACATAACTAAAACAAAAGATCGTTAATCTATTTCTCGATAGCAGGTGCACTCAGCACCTCTCAGGGACAAAATGAACAAAATAACAAACTCGATCTTGCTTTGTGCTAATTGCTTAATGTATACCAGATGACTCAAAGTGGTACTCAAACACTCACTGAAGAACAATAATATGACATTTCTGAACACGTCCTTTCACTCACAAAGCAGCCATAATTTCTTACTTATGAAACGACTTTTCTTTTATATGTAATCTAGGGGAAAACCAAGTGCTTTCAGACACCTAAAAATCACTCGTTTTTGGTGCAAATACACAAAAGCTACACAAAAATCGTGAGAAAATTTAAGAATAACATAAAGTTGGGAGAAGAAAGCTGTAAATCAGGTTGATGGAAGAATGGTCAGAAATTGGGAGAGTTGGCAGCTCTGATAAAGTGGTCATGGAGTAAAGGAGAAATGCCATTCACATACCTGCCAACCTCTAAAGATAAAAATTCAGAAGATTTCTCCCCAAAATTCAGAAGAACACGAAGAATTAATATCATGCTTTGATATTTAAAAAATGACAATTTATACAAATAGAAAAAAGAAAATTGTACTTACATTAGTAAATCTCAATTAAGTAGTAACTAAAAAATTTATTAAAAAATTTAACATAAAACAAGAACTTAATGTTACACAAAAAAATTATTGCAATGAATTTAGAGTGCATTATTTGGCTTTAGCCAAAAATTCTTTGGAAAATTTCCTGTCATAACAATTAGTTTCCTCAATACATTTAGCAATTAAAATGTTTTCTATAGTTTTTGGTGAAATTGAAGAACGAAACATAGTTTTGTTTTTCTTCACAACACTGAAGACTCTCTCGCACTCAGCATTACCGTGTGGAATTACGAGAATAGCACATAAAACTCTTGCTAGTCTATCATATTTTGGTGTTCCATCAGCTTTTTTTAAGGTACCAACGAGGACATCAAGTCTATTTTCTCCAGAACTGGCAAAGTCTTCAAACTGTGCAGCAGAAAATTGGTTCTGTAGTTCATCTAAAGCATCATTATGGCATTCATTTTCTTTAATCGTTAACAAAAATGGAAATTTATCAATAAAAAAACGAATCTTTTCAAAAGATGAATTTTCAATTTGTTTCAAATTTGCCACTTCAGCATTTAAAAGAACTTCATTTTGCAAAGGAAACTTCCTTACAATGTAATCACAGGCTGAGAAAAAGTACTTTTTAACATATTGAAAAACATTTTTTTTCTCATGATCTTTCAAAGAATTTACAAGTTCCCTGGTTTGATTTCCAATTATAAGATCATTGTCATCCTTTTGATTTGCCAAACTATTATAGGCAACACGAATCAACACACTGTTTTTCACAATGGAGGGTTTTACAAACTTAGTATAAAGTTCTTTCAAAAGATCATTAAGAATTTGGATAAGCAGGGGATATTTTGGTGAAGCTGATTGTAGAAGGGTATTTACACTTTCAAAAATCTTAATGGTACTTAACAGAAAACTACAATATGCTTTGTTCAAATCTGAAGAAAGAAGATAGAAAATTACGCACACGTTGCAAAATGCATAGTTATTTCCTTTGAAGGATTCTTTAATTGTTGGAAATTCAGCTTTGTAGGCAATCCAAAAATATTGAGAATACGGGTTTTTTTTTTTTTTTTTTTAAACTTATTTCGTAACAACAACGTATTAAGAAAAATACGTAGCACGTGGGGGGGGGAAGAATGCGACAATGCACGCTTGCTGAGTCCGAGCTGAGTAATTCCCTTGCTGTTGAAGCGAACGCGAAAAAAATAATCTGGCGCCCACAAAGAAAAGAGTGGGAGAAACAAGTTCAGCGCATTGGATTGGCTGATTAAGCAGCGAGTTGAGAGAAACCGCAGGTTAGTAGATTCGAAGTAGTCAGTAGTTGGCGGTAAAACATGATGCAATTGGTGAAAATCGTTGAATTGGCGAAAAATTCTAAAATTTCGACAAAAATCACTAAAAACACTTGAAAAAGGAAAAAAAATCATAAAAAATGGATTACGATTGTAAAACCGTAAAGACAAACGCATTTTCGTAAAAATTACGAAAAATTCATAAAAGTTGGCAGGTATGCATTCATAAAATTTTTTTAATTAATGGCTTGTGCTACATTCACGATCAACTGCATATAATACTGGTCGTTCAAGGTTGATCGGGACTTTTATTTCTTCAGGGGAAACAGATAGTACAAGTAGCACCAAACTACGTCAGCTTTTCAAAGTATTCTCCATACGCGTCGAGGCACTGTTGCCATCATTGTGGCAGCTCTCTGATTCCTTTGGCGTAGAGAGAACTTGGTTGTTGTCGTAGCCACTGGAGAACATCGTTCCACAGTGCTTCATCTGTCGTGAATTTCTTCCCTCCTAGATGGTCTTTAAGGGGTGCAAACAAATGATAATCACTGGATGCTGAAACTGGACTGTCGGGGGGGGGTGGAGCAGCACCCTATCCCCCCGACAGTAGGGGCAACTACCCAGCGCATTTCGGTCTGAGTTGTTGTCACACTGGCCGTGTGAGGGCGAGCATTGTAATGGAGAAAAATGACATTTCCAGACAATAATCCCAGGTCTTTTCTTGTGAATGGACTTTCGCTCAGCACCACTCAACAATGTGGAGTAATACTGAACATTAATTGTCCCTTTGAGCCCTTTGTCCAAACAGTCCACATGTATAACACCCTTTATGTCCCAGAAGACTGCCATGACCTTCCAGCGGACGGCTGCATTTTACTTTTCTTGGGTGGTGGGGAACCTTTATGCCGCCACTCCATGCTGCTTCTTTTGATCTCTAGGGTTGAATTGTTCAAACATATTTTATCACACGTGATGATGGGTTGCAACAATTCATCACCTTTGGCTCGAAACCAATTCAGAAGCTGTTTACAGACTGTCATGCGTGCCAACTTCTGATTTAATGTCAGCTGGCAGGGAACCCACCTTGCACAGATTTTGCAGAAGCATAAGTGGTTATGAATGATCGCCTCAAAACTCCTGACACTGATATTTACCTTGGCAGCAATATCATGCACTGTTACTCGCCGGTTCTCAACACATGCGATATTCCCTGGTGTGACTGCAGTTGAGCGAATGTGTCCAATGCACTTCATTTGTTACCAGCTCCTGGTCCTTCCCAAAACTTTTCACACCATTCATACACTCTTGTCTGTGACATTATTTGTTCGACATAATGTGCTTGCAATCTTTGAAAATCTCAAATGGTTTAACTTTCTCCTTTACAAGAAATTTGATTACACACTGCTTGCCGCCATGTTCGCTGCAAGGGCTGCGCATACGCCAAATACGTCATGCCAGGCACTAGTTACTCGAGAAAGAATACATTACGTCAGCTGCAATCTGACATAATGTATTCTTTCTCGAGTAACTAGTTCATCACGATCCGGCTATTCATCAATTATTTACATACGAAAATCCCAGTCAACCTTGAATGACCCTTGTAATAAAATTTTGCAACATACATCAAAGAAAAATATATGCTAATTTATTGCTTTAACAATTCACTGCCTAGATTTCAAAAATAGTTTAAAGGCTATTTGCAATATGTACACATACTTTAAAATAATTAATTTTTTAGTATGAAAATTAAATTAGAACTAAAACAGTAATAAGAATCAGAATGGGAACAAGAATGGAATCTTAAATTCAGGTAAAAATTTATGCAGTACAAAGTCCGTAATCCGGACTCGTCGGGACTTTGGCGATTCCAGATTAGGGGTTTTTCCGGATTAGAGATCATCAACTTAAATCTGGTAAGATGGCATGCAGAAATTATACAATTAAAAATATGAAACCATAATTTATGAAATAGAGAGCAATTATGATTCATAGGGTATTAAAATTTACAAAAAAAAAAAAAAAAAAAAAAAAAAAAAAAAAAAAAGAGCTTAATGTTTATTTGTTTACTTTATTAAACATTTCGTTCAATGTAAGTTGTTTAAGTTGCTTCGTTTTTTGTGCTAATGCTTTTTCTTTAATTCTATAAACAGGCATAATTTCTTGTTCAGTTACAAAGTTCCACTGTTCAAGCCCTGTAATTGCTGTGTCGAGAATACCAACTAACTTGTCAATCGAAATTCTTTCATTTTCAATAACCTCTCTGTCACTTTCTTCACTATCGGAAGCAGTAATTTCTGACTCTAAAATCATACTACAGATTTCGTCGTTCGTTAATTGATTGATGATTGCGGCATTGTCATCACAATGAAAAACTTCTGTTATATCAACTTAATTTATTACCGTTTCTTCACATTTCTTTACAAAATCCAATAACTGGACAATTTCACCCTTAGTTTGTGATGTCCAAAATCCTTCAAATTCACAGCTATCATCTTCATCGTCCTCACTATGAAATATGGTATCTGGCCATAAATTATGCCAAGCATTTTTTAGCGTACCTGGAGACACATCCTCCGATCTTGCGATGCTCAACACAGCAGATTTTATGCTAAAAAATTTCAAAAAGTCTTGAATAGTCTTGCCATTGTTCAAGAAATTTAACATAGATTTTTAAAATGCTAGTTTATATTTGCATTTCAGCGCATGCACTATTGCCATATCCATAGGCTGAATGATAGATGTACAATTTGGGGGGGGGGAAGAATAATACGGATACATTATCTTTCACTAAAACTTTAAGTGAAGTATGCGCTGAACAGTTGTGAACAATTAGGACTATTTTTGAGCCATCAAGTAAACCAAATGAATTCAAAATGTCGCCGAGACTCAGGTTTAAAATACCAATCATTCATCAATGCTATGCTCTTTGCGATATATAATGGGGAAAATCGTTACTCCTTTAAACTTTAGCACTTACTCCTGCTAGCCTACTTCTATTTGACTTTTTAGCTATATCATTATAGCATTTTCTCTGGACTTATGTCATATAATAATACAGTACAAAGTCTGTAATACGGACTCATCGGAACTTCGGTGATTCCGGGTTATAGATCATCAATGCAAATCTGGTAAGATGGCATGCAGAAATTATACAATTAAAAATATGAACCATAATTTATGAAATAAAGAGCAATTATGATCTACATTATTTTTCACTAAAACTTTAAGTGACGTATGTGTCAAACAGTTGTCAACAATCAGGACTATTTTTGAGTCATCAGGTAAACCAACCGAATTCAAATGTCGCCGAGCCTCGAGTATAAAATTATTTTCAAACCAATCATTCATCAACACTTGTGTCATCCACGCTCTTTTATTTGCGCGATATATAACGGGAAAAATCATTACTCCTTTAAATGCTCAAGGTCGTGCATGTTTTCCGATTATGAAAAGTTTGCACTTTGCGTTCCTGCAGCATTTGCGCATACTAAAATTGTTAGTCTCGCTTTGGAATCTTTGACACCAGTTGAAGCCTTTCTTGTATATTTTGCAGTACATATTGCCAGAAAAGACCAATTTCATCAGCATTGTAAATTCGTTCTGGAGATAATTGTTCACTAGTAATGAGTTCAATGAATTCATCTGAAAATTGTTCAGCAGCTTCAGTATCAAATGAAGCTTTTTCACCCAAAATTTTTAATTGTCTTATACCATGGTGATTTTTAAATTTGGTTAACTAATCTGTCGAATATGTGCACTCAATGTTTAACTTCATTTCTTCGTGAAATATTTTGGCTTGAGCGATTAGTATTGGACCCGTCAATGGCACGCCCTCACTGTGACGCTGTCTGACCCATTCAATCACCACTTTGTCATGATCATCACTTTTAGCATAACGAATCCTTTCTCTGTTATTCATTGAGAGTGGGGTGTCGGAATCCACAAAAAATTCAAAAAGTTCCTTTTCTTTTTGCTTATGTCACATACAGTTGACTTTCCAATGTCGTACTCCTCTTACAATTTTGAGACGGATATGCCTTTATCGAATTTTGCAGCAATTCCACTTTTTGTTTGAGGGACATCGAAACATGCTTTTGCTTTGTAAAATCCTTTTGCAGCTCTAGAATTGGAAACTCTTTGACATAATCAAATGTTCAAGCATAATTTTTTTAAATTGATCTAACAGTCTGCAAAAAATAATAAGCTAGATCCAATTAAAAGATTAAGGAGAGATTAAGGAACAGTGCAATCTGCAACATTAACTGAAATGCCTTAGAATCAGTAGAGATAATTTTAGCCTAGCTTATACCACCTGTTACACATTAAACGCACATGCATAAAGCATACAAAAAAGTTTGTAGCTTTGAGGTCCGGATTATAGATCATTCCGGTTAATGGACATCCGGATTATGGACTTTGTACTGTACTAACTCAGATAAAAATAGTACAAGAATTCCCATAGTATTAAAATACATATACATTTTACCTGAAACAGCTTTTCGATGCTGTGAATCAAGAGCTTGATCTATTTCATCAAAGAGATAAAATGGAGCAGGATCACATTTCTGAATTGCAAATATTAAAGCAAGAGCAACCAGTGATTTCTGACCTCCAGATAGTTGCTGCATTTCTTTCATTTCACCAGCTTTGCCCGTGAAAGAAACCTATCAATAAAAAAATACTTTAAATTATAATATCCTACACTATATAATAATGAAAGCACATAAAAAATAATATTTGGTTTGTAACAGAGCAAATAGCAAATACAAAAGTAACTCTCAGTCAGCTTTCAGATCAAATACCTAAAAACATCAAAAACTACAAGCAGATCTACAAATACAGTAAAATACAGCAAAATACAGTAAAATGATTTTAATTTTGAATCCAATTCTCTTCTAGAGTAATGAGCTGTTTTAAAAAAAGCAGTTTATTTCTTTTCAGCAAAGAATCACATACCTAAACACCAGCAAGCATATTCTATTCTATAAAGTATACGGTACCCAAAATCATGGCGGCTTACACACCCAAGCTTATTCAAATTGTCATATACTGCATTTTTTTTTTTTTTAAATACTTAGTCTCTCTGATAGTTCCTGAACTACAACACATAGACTTTCAGCAATAACTTCTTTTAATAGATTCCTATATATGAAGGATAGTTATCCGGAACGAACATCACCTCTGACAGCAAAATTTCCACACTTGAAACCTCTCGAAACCACCTCCAAAATGCATTAGTCAAAAACAGCAATTTGCTGCAAATTTTACGCAAATACAGCATAAATTTTACAATCAGTCTGACTAGCATTGTTTTCTTTTTGAAAATAAAAAAGCATACATAACATGAAAAAAATGAACTTCTGAGTTTCCCTATTCTTGACTTCAATAAGGAAAACATTTTAATGTTGCAACACATGCTAGAATTCTGCAACATAAGCAGAAAAGACTATTCAGATGTCAAATGCTGATTTTTGTTGTTTGACTTCTGAATTAGTATTTGGTCAGCGTGTTATTGTGTCTTAAGAAAAGACTGTATTTAAACATCTGTTTAATCAATCACTCCTTATCAGCAGTAACAAAATAATTAGAAGAAAATGCATGCAGTGATAAGAAAACTCATGGAATTTTGGATGACCAAAATATATCATTCATAACATTTTGATGTTTCAAAATAAAACTAAAAAGTTTAGAAATATAATGGAAGAAAAATAGTTATATTAATATAATTATTTATTATAATGCGACAACTATACAGTGTAATGTCATCATAAGTGCACAAGTTTAAATAGCCACTGCACTTCTACAGACAGGAATAGTCGAACAGTGGAAAACATAGACCATCTGTTAGCGAACAATTAATAACACATGAGAACACATAAAGGAATATCAGAAATGAGATTGGAGGGACGGGGCTTTCAGCAAGAAAAACAAGCATAACTTGTTCTTTTTTAAGAGAAATAATTGTGTATGATTTAAAGTATGGACATTTTATTGTTTGAGATAATTGATCAGTATGCATTCCTCCATCCCTTCTAAGACTGAGAATTTCAATCTTCTTGACATTTTTCTGAAAAATATTTTATTTTTCCTGGCTATTTTCAATTTCTCTGATTTCCTAGAATTTTCCAGGTGAGTGGCAAACCTGCTGCACAATGCATACATTTCATAAATAAACAGAAAACAATAATTTAGCTTTGATATTACGATTCTAATCCAAATTAATAAGCAGTTGGTTAGAAAAGCCATTTTAAATTTATTATACTATAAAGCTGTTAATTTTGAGATGTATTTTTTCCAATTAAAAGAATAAAATTAAGAAAAATAATTCAAACAGTTTCCCTTATCCTTATTTTCAAAAAGTTTTAAAATTTAACCTTTTATGTTTTATTATGTTGACTTATATTACATTTTTCTTAGAGGAATTTTGAAACAATATTGTGCACTTTTATGCAGTCATGATATTTTCGGCCATTTAGTATGCATTAACTTTTTACTTTACTTTTAATACTTTTTAATTCTTTAATGATCTAAATATTATTTTAATGAATAAAAGATAACGAAAAAAGTAAAATAAAGCTCTTCAATCAGTAAGTCCAAAAAAGATGCACTGCTCAGAGGTGCTGCACACTACAGTACGAAGTCCGAAATCCGGACTCTTCGAGAACTTTGCTGATTTCGGATTTTTCCGGATATTGGATCATCAGTTTAAATCTAGTAAGATGGCATGTAGAAATTATAAAATTAAAAACATGAAATCGTGATTTATGAAATAATAAAGTATTTTTGATCAAAAAAGTATCAAAATTTACGGAAAAAAAAATATTTTGTCACCTTATTAAACATTTTTTTCAATTTAAGTTGTTTCTTTTTTGTGCTAACACTTTCTATAAGTTCTGTAGAAAGACATAATATCTTGTTTAATTACATTGTTTAAGTCCTGTAACTTCTGTGTCGCTACTTTGAAAAAGCATAAGATACAGCACAATGTCTAAAATCGGAACTCGTCCGGACTTCGATGATTCCGGATTTGGGATTTTTCCAGATATTAAATCATGAGTTTAAATCTAGCAAAATGCATGTAAAAATTATAAAATTAAAAATATGAAATCATGATTTATGAAATAATGAAGCATTTATGATCTAAAGTGTTTTAAAATTTACACACACACCAAAAAAAAAAATTAATATTTATTTCTTTACTTTATTAAACATTTCTTTCGATGTTGTTTAAGTTGCTTCATTTTTTATGCTAATTCTTTCTCATTAATTCTGTAGACAGACATAATTTCTTGTTCAGTTACAAAGTTCCATTGGTGAAGTCCTGTAACTGCTGTTTCAAGAATTCCAACTAACTCATCAATCAAATTTTTTTTCGTTTTCAGCAACTTCTCTGTCACCTTCTTCACTATTGGTAGCAGTATTTTCTGAATCTAGAAACATACTACAGATTTTGACATTCATTAATTGATTGATGACTGAGAAACATTGTGATCACAATGAAAAACTTCTTTTATATCATCTTATTTTATTACTGCTTCTCCAAATTTCTTAACAAAATCTGTTAATTGGAAAATTTCACCTTTGTTTTGAGATATCTGAAAACCTTTAAAATTCATGGCTATCATCTTCATTGTTCTCACAATGAAATATGGTAGCTGGCCACAAATTATGCCAAGCATTTTTTAACGTATCTTTAGACACATCATCCCAACGTGCATGCACATTAACGTGTAAATGCGCATTAACGTGCATGCGTAAAGCATACAAAAAAAAAAAAGTTTGTGGCTTTGAGGTCAGGATTATAGATAATTCTGGATAATGGACATCTGGATTATGGACTTTGTACTGTAATCGGTATTATATCAGCAAAATTTTGAGAAAATCAAGGCTAGGGCATCATAAAGTTAACAAAGATATTGAAAAAGACTGCTCTGATTATCGTACTCAGAGCAGTCTTATCAGACATCATCAGCAATCACAAATATTTAAGTAACCATAATTTAAAAAATATATAATGTTTCTTACTCTGATTCCTACACCTATAAACTGTTCGACAGACTGAGCTTTAGCACCCTATGGAGAAAAAAATAATGTTCAGATATACCCATACAGCATATATTATATTAGAAACAACTTAAAACAAAATGGAAAGGCACACATACTGTAGAGCCAGTTTCATCATTTTCTGTCTTCATTACTAACGTAGCATGACCCTGTGGAACTAACTTCTTAAAAACTTCACTAAAATATTTAGATACTTGCTTAAATGTAAACTGTATAGCTTCATACTTCCGTAACTCTAAGGCATTCATGAGCTCCATAATGGACTATAAAACAAATACTAAATGTTAAGATAACATATACATATGCATAATATAATAATAATAATAAAAGCAAGACTTAGCAATATTCATGCTGTAGAAAAATTGATTGCACATATACATAGAAATATTGATGGCTTATAGAAATGTAGATGTATAATGAAGAGCAAGAATTTTGATTGCGTAGTTAGATTACAAAGTATCTATAGAAAAAATTTTCATTAATCTGATTGGCTAATAACTATATGCAATGCAGAAGGTTAAGATGATATGATGCGGATTTAGTTTTCAGATATGACAGAGTTTCAAAAAAGTTACTACTATTTTTAGAATAGAGAGGGGGAATTAAGAGGCTATTGCTTTGATTTACATATTTTATCTTATAGGTATACATATATATATATATAGATAGATATAGATCCCACTTTATGAAATTTCCCAGATATGAACAAACCTGCTCTCAAGAATAAAATTTCGGAGTCAAAAAGAAAATAAAGAAATGTAATGGTCTTTTAGCACAATGCTATATAATACAATTGTCTTTCTTATAACAAAGGAAAAAAACTTTTTCAGACAAATTTACACACTTATTTTCCTAAGAAAGACACTTTAGAAATAGGCTTTGTTGACCCATCTAAAATACCAACTCCTTCTATTTCTCATACAACCACCTCATCATAAATGCTTCCTTTACTTGTAGATAAATCTTCAGATGGTGATTCAGACACTGAATAATTCTCACCCAAATAAAGACCTACTTGCTTTCATCCTCATGTCACCCATAAATGCCTCAAAGTCAGCAATCCAAGGTATATTAAAAAAATCCTTTTTGTATTAACAATTCTTTACTTATAATGCACTGCATTTAAAATTTTAAGTGCATTACTTATTTGTTTTAGCAGTTTTAACTGTTTAATAATATTTATAGCTTTTATCTCATTAACATTATTAGGAGCTGTGCATAGTGAACCTAGTAACATTTTACGAATAAATTCATGGCGTGAAAAGTAGTTCAAAACATAACTATTTTAATGTTTGTGAAAATTGCAACACCATGAAGGAATTATGCAAATTGAACCAAACTTACAGGAAATGTAAGGGGAGGTAAGACATGCAAATGATTATAAATACAAAATGGTTGTGCATAGATGAAATGAGAACCAGCCGCTTGTTACACCTATACATAAAGGACTGTAAAATTGCACTGAAATTTGTTTATCGTCCTCTGTTTGTGGTGAACTTTTAATCAGAGCTCAATATGCCTTGCCAACAGTGGAATGTGTAATGCCAATAACTGATGGAGTTCGAACAAGGCCGCATCATTGGCATGCAAGAGGATGGATTTTCATATCAAACAATTGCGGTCTGCATGCAGTGTAATGCTAAAATGGTGATGCGTGTTTGGAAGAAATGGACAGAGGAGAACCAAACAAGGTGAAATCCAAGCAGTGGAGCACAATGGCGCAGAACAGCAGATACCTTATCGCATAGCTGTGATGGATCGTACATTGTCCTCTCAAGTGTTAGCACAATGTTGGAACGTGGATACAGGTGTCCTGTTGTCTAGCTCTATGGTCATCGACAGCTGCTGCAGCAAGAATTGTGTGCAAGAGTTTCTCTATGCAAGATTCTCTTGTCACTGAATCACAGACACATCCAACTTCAGTGTGCTGTTAACACATTGTGTGGCATGCCCTGTGGCAACAAGTTGTTTTCTCACATGAATCTCACTAAAATCTGGAGTACAATGATGAAAGAGTATGCATCAGACATTACAGAGGTGAACGTCTGCTTTTACAATGCGTTATCCAGCATCATACCACACAAACATGTAGCATCATGGTATGGGGAACTATTGCGAATAATTATCAATCCCATATAGTGCAGACTGCTGGCAAACTCAACAGTGATCGCTATAAGGGAAGTTAAGGAGCCAGAGGTTCTCCCCATTCTTCAACGCATTCCAGGCAGCACTGTATTTCAGCAGGATAATGCACATGCACATTTCTCAGACTGCACAAGCCTTTTTTAGAGCACAACATGTTTCGCTTCATGCAGGCCAGCTTATTCCCTGGATATGTCGCCCTCTGAGCATGTCTGAGATTTCATTGGTCGGCAGCTCGCTTGCACAGCTCATGGAGCACACACTAAGACTGAATTTTGGCATCAATTCGAAGCCATATGGAATGACATTCCCTAGGATTACATTCAGAACCTGCATATTTGTACCACTATCAGTAATATGTGGAATAAATTTCACTCATTTCCGACACTTCCCTCATGGTGTTCCATTTTTCACAAATATAAGTCTAATTTCGAAAGTGAGAAGCATATGTATAAACACACATACAAACTACTGCCCATCCAAAATGCAACATTAGAAAGGAAGCATCCAAACAGCATGAAATTTCCATCATATGTATAAAGCAATGCGATATGCAAATGATTACGATTTCCACACATGCACACATCATGGGAAACTGCAGTTCTCCTTAAAGTCTGTACAAGAGAAAGGACTGCTTTTTTGAATTATGTGAAATGTTCTGTTGTGAGATTTTTTTGTGTGCGCAGCTTCAGTATGCATCATAGAAAAGCATGAGCCTCATTTGAGCACGTTTCCGAGTTCGACCAAGGCAGAATCATTGCATAGAGAGATTGTGGATTATCTTTCCAGGAAATCAATCCTGTGATACGTAGCCAAGCAACAGCGATGCAAATATGCAATCCGTAGATGCAAAAGGAAACAACTGATGGACAGGAAAAACTGCAACCATCTTGCTGCACATTGCATGAGAACACAGGCATATTGTGCTCATCCACAACCATATCACAACGAATGTAATCTGGTGTAACACAAAAATCAGTATCTGCATGAATTATTCGACGTTGTTTACAGTATGATGGACTGTTCACTAGGCATCCGTTGCTTTGCTTACCTTTAAACCACTGGCATTTACATTTGCAATGGTGCAATGAACAGCAGAGATGACATCTGAGAGGCATATTTTTGAATGAAATACACTTCTGCCTGCAGTACCATGAAGGTTGTTTTAAGAGTTGAGGGGCATGGGGAAACACTGCTCGACTTTTGTGCGTGATACTGATCCAGCACCCAATGTTATGGTTGTGAGGTTGTATGGGATTCCACTTCCACTCAGACACTAAATGCACCTGTGGGTGCGGCTACCAGGCATTTATACTATGTGTAATATCTGAAAAAAATTGGATTTAATATCTCTTGTACTTTTTCGTGTCACATTTTGGATGGCCAGCACTGCACAAGTCTATTTTTTGAGGATACAGCATGTATAGAATTTTTTAGAACCACGGTAGTAGATATATTGTAATTACTTACATCATAGCCCCTATCTAATTCTCCTTTACGATTTACAAGTTTCTCCTTCTGCTCAGAGAAACTTATAAACTGATCTAAAGCTTTCTTGTTAACATGGCTATACTTCTTTAGCTCATGATTGCACTGTTCAAGTTTCTTGTACAACTAGAAAGAAAGAGAAGGACAAATTAATATACATTTTGAATTTCTACAAAAATAATTCAGAGATTTAGCACATAAGATTTAAAACCCAAAAGAAATATTTAATATACATGGTGGATTTATCTTACTAATGAAAATTTACTGCAGATTTTACAAACAAACAAACAAATAACAACAGGATAACAACCTTTATAAATGTCAATGCAGATATAATCATATTATGGAAAAACCACAATGCCCTCCTTTAATTTTATTACAATGTACTCAGACTCCAAAAAGGAATGAAAAAGGAAAAAGCAGCAGAATATTTTGCCTGCAAAGACATGTGTAGACATCAAAACAATAGTTTGAGCCATGGAGAGGGAAATTTTCCCCTCCATCGTGGCTTAAATTGATTTCAAGTATCGATCATGACATCAACACAGTTATAAGCTTTGACCTTTAACTTCTGCCAACTTGCAAGGAGCAGCCATAAGCTTACCATTTTCCATGTCAATTTTTGTTACATCCTCAGTTCTATAGTATAGAAGGTAGAAATCAGTAGTACGGTATAAAGTCTGAAATCCAGATTTGTCAAAACGTTGCCTATTCCAGATATGATATTTTTTCAGGTATTAGACCATCAGTTTAAATCTAATATGACGACATGTGGAAATAATAAAATTAAATATACGAAATAGAGGTTTATGAAATAATGAAGCATTTGTGACTTTAAAGGAATAAAAAAATACAGTTAGGGGAAAGAGCTTACTATTAATTCTTTTACTTATTTTCTTTGAATGTAAATTGTTTGAGATGCTTTGTTTTGGTGTCAATACTTACTCTTTAATTCTACAGATCGACATAATTTCAGTTATGAAGTTCCAGTGTTCAAGTCTTATAACCGTTCTATTGAGAATTCCTACTAAATTGTTAATTGAAATTTCTTTGCTCTTCGCAATTTCTTTGTCATGTCACAGGGTGTAGCTGTGTCTTCTAGATTTAGAACCATACTACATATTCCACCCTCTATCAGTTGACTGATGATTGGGGCATTGTCATTGCATCGAAAAACTTAAATTATACCATCTGTATTTATTAAAACTTCTGCACATTTGTTCACAAATTCCATTATTTGGAAAATTTTGCTTTTTGTTTGTGATATCTGAAAATCTTCAAATTTGCAGTTATCATCATAAAGCTTAGACACTATCTGCAATACACTACCGGCGATGCAACATGAAACTAGCAAGTAAAGACGCTCAATTCTGTCTTGGTTCTATAACATACCGACTTAACTCTTTTGCATCGAAGTCGCCCCCGTAACGCCCATTCATTCAGGCAATGGCAAACCACCCCAACGCCTCATTTATTTTCTACCTAGTGCTTTCCCCCTCTCCATTAGTGTATGGCTCATTGGTTTCGCGAATTGTTAAGAGACATGTCAATCATTCTTTTGAAGCAACTAAAGGAGAAATACGGAAAGCTATTGATGTTTGCAGGTGCAATCCGGCGCGAAGGTGAAACTGCACACAATGGATGAAACCGCAGAAAAACTGCCAAGAGAGAAGCAGTCATTTCACTTAAGTAAATTATTGTTAATGTTGTAGGTATCTATTAGGCAGGGGGAAGGAAAACTTTACAAAGAGACAAATTCGTAAACACGGGCATTTTCGATGTTTTATGAAAACAGATCTGGTTGTCTCTCGATGCAAAACAGTTAAGCCTGAATTATGGTAGGGAAATTAATTTTTATACTTATGCCTATATGAGTCCCAAATAAAGAAATCTAACAAACATTCAAGGTTGATCCAGGGCTCGTGCTAGACATTCTGCGCCTTGATGCAATGGGTACTAAATTCTGTTGCCAAGCGCCTCCTTAATTCTAAAAACTCTAGTTAATTATGCTCTATCAGTCTGATTCAGTTAATGTCATAGCTTCATGTAGAGTTCCTGGAGTTCTAACCCAGTTAGTATACTTTAAAGTTCCTATAAGCTGCTAAAGCACCCGATGTGATAAGTTGTTTCATATTACTTTAAGTTTCACTAGCTGTATGAAATAAATTTTACATTAATTTTACATTTTTGTGTTGTATCTTCTGACCACACCCAGTCTAGCTGAGTGTAAGGTAACCTTTGACACAAAGGAGGCGTTTCCGGAATTTTGTTTTATTCTGTTTCGGACAAAAAGCCATTTTTTTTTTTTTTTTGGGTCGCTTAGGCCCAGCGCGAGTAAACGTGTTTCTAATTTCGAGTTTGAAGTGCACTGAGCTCATAGCATAAACATGGCTTGCAGATTAACATATGATGAAGAAATGGAATGATTATGTAATTTGGCTAGATGAAGTATTCGACTGATGACGAATCTATCGAAGGTGACAATTTATTGCCTGATTGCGATGAAATGTTTAGTGAGCATAATACGTTGTCTAAAGAAGAAATTGAGTCTGATGAAGAGGACGCTATTGAATCTAATTCAGTTTGTGATTCTTTTATTGGAAAAGATGAAAAGACAATTTGGAAGAAAACAAAATTTCGTTGAAATGTTTGAACTTTATCGCGAAATATTATTTCAAAGTTGCCTGGAAATGTTGGAGTCGCAAAAAACATAACTTCTCCTCTTGAGTCTTGGAGTTTATTACTGGATGAAAATATCTTGAATACGATCGTCACCTGTACAAATATATTTACTGACACTATCAGTGACAACTTTCAGAGAGAATGCGATGCTAAAAAAAACAAAACTCTCCAAAATTAAAGCTTTTATTGGATTACTATATTTACAAAGCTTTTATTTTATTACTATATTTATGTGGTATACATAAATCATCCCATGTGCATGTGAGAGATTTATGGCGCACTGATGGAATGGGAATAGAAATATTTCATAGGACCATGTCTCATAATAATAATTTTTTTTTTTTTTTTTTTTGTTTCTTATGAGATGCATAAGATTTGATGATGTTAGAAACAGGCAAATGAGAAAAGAAATGGACAAAACTTGCCCCAATAAGATATGTATTTGGCTCACTTGTGCATAATTGTCAGGAGTCTTACACAGCTGGATCATATGTTACAATTGACGAAAAACTCGAACCATTTAGAGAACGCTGTTCATTTCGACAGTACATGCCAAAAAAGCCAGTGAGGTATGGAATAAAGATTTTTGCTCTTGTTGATGCAAGGACTTTCTTTACATGTAATTTAGAAGTTTATGCACGTACTCAACCCCAAGGCCTGTATCATGTAAATAATTCACCAGTTGAAGTTGTCAAAAGGTTAACTGAAAAGTTAAATTCTGGGAGAAATATAACAGTCGACAACTGGTATACTAGTTATGAACTTGCAAAGTATCTCCTTCAGAAAAACATTACTCTAGTGGGCACTATAAGAAAGAACAAGAGGAAAATACTGAAAGAGTTTGTGAACAGTAAAAATCGTAAGGTGCATTCATCCTTGTTTGCATTCCAGAAAGACATGACTTTAGTGTTGTATGTTCCTTAAAAAAAAAAAAAAAAAAAAAAAAAAAAAAAAATTGTTAACCTCTTATCTAAAATGCATAACGACGACGCTATTGACCAAACAACAGGTGAGGCAAAAAAACCTGAAATAATAACATTTTATAATTCGACGAAAGAAGCTGTTGATGTGGTGGACCAAATGTCAGCAGCGTATTCAACTGCAAGAATCAGCAAAAGATGGCCGATGGTTCTGTTCTTTACACTGCTAAATACTGCTGCAATGAATGCTCAAGTATTACTCCAATGCTCAAAACATCCATCCTTACAGCACAGGAAGCGGAGTCAGTTTTTGAGAGATCTTGCAACAGAGCACAGTACCATGTCTCCCTCGACACTTGCAAGAAAAACTATCTCCCAAGAGCAAAGAACCTATAGCTAAAAAACAGAAAGTAATTGAGAGAAAAAGGTGCTATATTTGCCCAGGTTCAAAGGACCGAAAATCTAAGATAATATGTATAAAATGTGAAAGAAATGTCTGTGGAGATCATTTTGTTTCAACATGTACCAATTGTACATAAAACTTGGTAAGTTTTTTTAAAAAATTCTATACATATATTGAATAAAATTAGAGCTCTAAATATTGTCTTAAATTTTGTTGTTAGTAAATGCTTAATGGGGTATTTAAAGACCTGCATAAAATATAAATCCATAAACTGGCCTTGCAGGCCCGGCGAGAGCTGGCAATTCTAAAAATATTGGCTGCAGATTAATCAAAGGCATTAACACCTTAAATAGAACATAATTCAATCACTTTTAAAGAAAAAATGAAATGAGGATTAATGAAAGGCAATAACTTGCTTTAACAAATAAGAAACAGCTTTAAAGGGTGAGCAATTAGCAACAAAATATGCCTATTAAATTAGGTAGTTCAATACACCCTCAGTCATTATAAATTTAAATGGTAACTATTAAATTTCATTATGTTTTAAAAATATTTAAAAAAAAATCTCAAAGGTTTCAGATTTTAAATTACGTCCAAATGGGGCTTTTTTTTAACATTTTGTCTGTTACCTTTATTTATTAAATATGATGTTTTTCACACTTAAACCATAAAATTCAGTTCAAGAGCAATATCGCAAAATAGTTTTAATTGAGCATATTTTTGGAACTTTCGATACACAGCCTCACGGGCTGGAGATAAAAATGTTTTTTCTGAACAACGTTGCCATTGCTCACTTTGAAATGCTTGAGTTTGTTAATAAAAAAATTGTTAAGGATTTATAAAATATAAAATCGATGATAAAAAAAAATTCCAAATTTCAAATTTGGGCTTCCACATGCCCATGTTAGCAGTAGGATTACGTCATTCAAAATTCAATGGTTCTATGTACCGTTGTTTTATCACAATGCGAGAAATATACATACATTTATGCAGATTTTTCATTTTTTAATTTCTTCAAACATAATGCAGGACTCTTTAACATTTGGTGGCAACAGTTTGAAAAGTGAAAGTGACATTTATAGTGAACCAACGCAAAACAAAAACAATAGTCCTTTCAGGGACAAAGCCCCTTTGGACTAAAAACTTGATTTGGACACCACATGACTCCCTTGCAACAACGGCCTATTAACCTGGCATTACTTGCGCCGGGCTTCCGAGGCCCGATCAGTTTATTAAAGCTATGTAAACCCTACCCCTTAATACTGAAACGGACTACACCCAGTCTAGCTGAGTGTAAGGTGACCTTTGACACAAAGGAGGCGTTTCCGGAATTTTGTTTTATTCTGTTTGGACAAAAAGCCATTTTTTGGGTCGCTTAGGCCCGGCGCGAGTAAACGTGTTTCTAATTTCGAGTTTGAAGTGCACTGAGCTCATAGCACAACATGGCTTGCAGATTAACATATGATGAAGAAATGGAATGATTATGTAATTTGCTAGATGAAGTATCGACTGATGACGAATCTATCGAAGGTGATAATTTATTGCCTGATTGCGATGAAATGTTTAGTGAGCATAATACGTTGTCTAAAGAAGAAATTTGCGATGAATTTCTTCTGTCTGTAAGTCTGTTCTGCTGTCTGTAAGTCTGTAAGTTCTGTCTGCAGTAAAGTCTGATGAAGAGGACGCTATTGAATCTAATTCAGTTTGTGATTCTTTTATTGGAAAAGATGAAAAGACAATTTGGAAGAAAACAAAATTAAGCTATTGAATCTAATTCAGTTAACTTGGTAAGTTTTTTTAAAAAATTCTATACATATATTGAATAAAATTAGAGCTCTAAATATTGTCTTAAATTTTGTTGTTAGTAAATGCTTAATGGGGTATTTAAAGACCTGCATAAAATATAAATCCATAAACTGGCCTTGCAGGCCCGGCGCGAGCTGGCAATTCTAAAAATATCGGCTGCAGATTAACCAAAGGCATTAACACCTTAAATAGAACATAATTCAATCACTTTTAAAGAAAAAACTGCACAATTTTCCAACATATAAGAATAAAAAACTGAGCTTAGAGATGCAAGTAACAGAGTAGGCACATATATATTTATATATGTTTGGTACAGCAGATGGTAACCAAAAACGGATGTGCGCAACTACATATTATAGAAATAGCATATACAAAATTGAAACATTCTGTGGCTAATTGCTATTGATTTATGAGAGATACATACATACGTACCCATAGACATCACGGAAAAAAATCTTTCGATTATGTCAAATAGAATTTTCGATGCTGGAGCTCCCAAAGGATCTACAAAGCGAAAGTGTGTTTCGATGTCCATCAAACAAAAAGTGGAATTGCTGCAAAAAATGGATAAAGGCATATCCTTTGTTTCTCTAACCATTCCAAAACCTGTTTATCAATTTCACGCTGCTGGGGGGAAGACGCCGCGGCGCGCTATTAATTGGAAGTTGATCTGTCAGCACTATCCTTATCTTCAGGGCAGATGTTTTTATTTTATTTGGCTTATAATTCCTTACTAAATGTAGTATTTCATCTCCATGTACTCCGCCTTTGATATGATTTAAATCAAATTCCTCGTCATTATAATTCGCTTCCGATAGTGAAGAAAGTGACACAGAGGTTATTGAAAACGAAAACATTTTAATTGACAAATTCGTCGGTATTCTCGACACACCAATTATAGGACTTGAACAGCGGAACTTTGTAACTGAACAAGAAATTATGTCTGTTTATAGAATTAAAGAGAAAGTATTACCACATAAAACGAAGCAACTTATACAACTTACATTGAAAGAAATGTTTAATAAAGTAAACAAATAAATATTAAGCTTTTTTATTGTAAATTTTGATACCCTTTAGATCATAATTGTTTTTTATTTCATAAATTACAGTTTCATATTTTTAATTTTATAATTTCTGCATGCATCTTACCAGATTTAAACTGATGATCTATAATCTGGAAAAATCGATAATCCAGAATCGCGGAAGTCCCGAAGAGTCCGGATTAACAACTTTTGACTGTACTACTTTGTAATTGTTTGGAAGTACAAAAGCATTATTAAAATCACAATCTAAAAACATTTCATGGGTTAAAATGCATGTAATTTATGACATTGATTCTTAAATAATATTAGGATAATTATGGATTAAAAGCAGCAAAATATTTATGATTTACAGTGACAACACACAAAATATTTATATGTCTCTTTAATTTGAAAGCTTTTCAGATATTTTTGCTAATTCATATCAATTTCCTTTTCTTTAAGCATCTTTTTTTACAATATGAAATTTGTTTCAGCAAGCAAACCAATGTTTCCACTTGCTTCTGCTTCATCCCCTAACTTGACAATGTCTCAACAATATATCTTAGAAAAAGAAACTTCATGATTTTTATGTATTCAGTTTCTTCATAAATAAGTTTCCTCTTCAAATTTAGGATTTAATTAAGGATTTCTGTAATTCTTAAAAAGCTATTGTTATTTTAGGAAGGCAGCAGAATTTAGGACCAAGACAGATTGCATCTGGTGAGGAAATAAAAATGATTTATTTAATGTTGTTTCACAAACATAATTTTAAAACATTATTTTAATGAAATTTATTAATATTATAATGCTTTAAATAATAGTAAAAAATTCACAAATCTCCAAATTAAAAATTGTGTATAAAAATTTATCTTAAAATCTCCAAAGTGTTGAGGAATTGACAATTTAGAGCCATTTAATAAAAGAATTCACATCACCAAAAGGGCAAAATTCTTTATGAGCCCTTGATTAGCAAAAAGAAATATCTGATTGTAATGAAAGTTTTCTGCCAAAAAAACGTTCTTGATGAAGTTGGGAGGGGACGTGAAAGCAGTACCTTTGGTGCGGGTAGTAATCGCCATCAGATTTTGACTTTTTGCTAACATTTTGGAATTTTTTCAAAGCCTCCGGCCCACAAACTTGGTGGCCACGATTCCAAAAACAGATTAGCTTCATTTCGAGCATTTTGTGCAGAATGGAAGACAACACCAGCAAGATGAAGCTGCAGGTGTGAAAAAAGGGCAGAAATCCGAAAGAGTGATGCCGGAGCTATATGGTAGGTGTGGGGAAAAGATCACACTTAAGTCTGTTCACAGAATCCAACTGGTTAATGCAGACACATGTGGTCTTGCATTATCTCAATGGAATATTACCTTTTTTTGTGCCAGAACTCAATTCAATGGTTTTTCTTTGATAGCAGCATTAACACGGACTTGCTATACACCTTACTATCGAGGGTTTTACCTTCTTCCAGATACTCTTTGTGGATAATACCATGGCAATTCCCACCAGATAAAAAGCATGATCTTTTTGTTACTCAAATTGCATTTTGTGACACTGCCGATGAGCTCACCAAGCGCAGGCCAACTTCCTTTTCCGCCTCTGTTGTTGAAGTAACTCCACTTTTCAACACAATTTACAATCCGGTTCAGAATTTTGTCCTTGCCTTGATATTTGAGCAGATTAGTGCAGGCCTGAACATGTTTGTCCTTATCTGATTGAGTCAACGCATGCGGCACCCAAGGACTGAACTTGTACGTCAAGTTTATGTGATGCATAGCGTGATTAATAGGTATGGAACTAACGTCTAACTCCTTAGCAAGCTCTCGAGTGGTTGCATACTGATCTTATTCCGCAAGTTCTGGCAGGAAGGCATCATCGACATCAGTAGGCCAGGCAGAGTGCTCTGCTTCTTGAATGACATAGTCCTTGTTTTTGAACTTTCGGTACCAAACCTTCACAGTGTCATACGATACAACATTAGATTTGGTGACAATCTGTAGCTGGCTTTTTGCATCAGAACTGGAAGTAAATGATGGTTCTAATCTGTTAGCGCGATAGTTCCATTTCAAACACCTCGTACTTAACAATAATGATATTTTTTTACAAATTTCATAACACAGTGTTCTAAAACAAGTATCTTTCTTTCAAATGCAAAAGTTCGTTTGACAAAATAATATTAAACCCGCCAATGTGAGCTGTTTGCTCAGACAATACTTGCAGTGGCAGAAAACTTTTGTTAAAATTTGACAACTTCAAAATGCTTATATTTCACTTCTTGCCCCAAAACTTGAGTATCCTACTGTTTATATAAGAAAAAGGAACAAATTCAACAATAAGTCATGAAATACATATTTGTCAGTAAATCGCCAAAAAAGATTCCTACAAAATGTTAATTCATATTCAAAATGGCATTATGAAAAAACATAAATGCAGCAATAATTTTAACACATATGACATCTGTTTGTATCAGTCAAACAAACCTATTTGTGCAAGAGATTTCGATATTTTTCAAAGGATCTTAAAAACATGATGCATACATCCATGCAGAAAGGGAAGAAAAAAAAGGCACACCTGTTTGTATGAGAGATTTTGATATTTTTCAAAGGCATCTGATGGTAAGGAGCCAAGTTCTCTTATTTTACGTGTAAATTCTTCTTTCTAGAAAATAAAAATTAAATAATTAATAAAAAATTGTAAAAATAAATACATTCAAATGGCAGAAATTACTACAATTTGTAAAAATTATAGTATAATTTTTACAAAATTATTTGTGTTAATTACAAAATTATTTGTGACGATAAATTTTCAGTGCACTTTTAAATCATATAAAAGGTGTGTACGAAAAGTTCGGTGATTGGTCTTATAATTAAAAAACCGCGCTGGTTAGGATCTTGCACTCACGCAGACGCAGTGAGAGAAATGCCATCTAGAGACCACTTTTCGACAGATAAGAGGAAGCGCACGCTATGAGCAGTTTAACACAGTCAGTGTGAGAAAGATTGTCAGTATGACATGGAGCAATGCATAAAGTTTTGCCTCAAGTTTAGGCAAAACGGCGACGGAGACACATGACATGTTAGTGAAAGTTTATTGTCAGGAAGCAGTGAGTAAAAAGTGTGTTTATGAGTCGTTTAAACGCTTTCAGACGGAAAGAAGGATGTCAAAGATGAGCCGCGGTCGAGGTGCCCTACAACAAGCACAACTCCAGACAATGTGGAACGAGTTCGACGGATGCTTGCGGCAGATCGACGACTGTCTTTAAGAATGATAGCTGATGAATTGCAGATAAGCCTAGACAGTGTGAGCACCATTGTGCACAAACATTTGCATAAACGTAATATATGTGCCCGGTTTGTACCGCACTCGCTGTCAAGACGAGCAAAGACCAGATGGAAACCTCTGGAGATTTTATCGACATGTGTGACCAGAATCTGCAATTTTTGGAAACAATAATTACAGGGAATGAGTCGTGGTGCTATCAATACGATCCGGAGACCAAGCGGCAATCCATGGCATGGTGTTCAACGTCGTCACCCCCTCCCAAAAAAAGTCGTTTGACACAATCCAGAATCAAGACGTTGTTGATCATCTTTTCCGACAGTAAGGGTTTGATCCATCGTGAATTTGCACCTGCGGCTACAACCGTCAATGCAGAATACTACGAGGAGGGTTTGAAACGGCTGCTGCTACACATATGCCGGATTCGGCCACAGTACCGGAATGGACAGTGGAATCTGCTCCATGACAACACCCGGCTGCAATCCGTGTAACCCAATTCCTCGACAGGCACCAGGTTCCAGTTTTGGATCACCCTCCATATTCTCCAAATCTGGCTCCTGCGGACTTCTTCCAGTTTCCCCGCCTCAAAGGAGTTCTGAAAGGCCAACACTTTTCCGGCATTACCAAGATCCAACAACGTGTGACAACGGTGCTTCGAGCCATATCGAAAGAAGCATTTGTTTCCAACAATTTTACACCTGATTTCAAAAGTGTATTGTTGCTAATGGCGGATACTTTGAAGGTCAGTAAAGCTATTTTGCTTGTTTCTCGTGTTTCCTTTTTTTTACAGTAAAATTCACCGAAATTTTCGAACACACCTTGTATAATAATATAATAAATGCCATTAAGAAAATACCTTTTTAAGAAGCAAAGACTGTTTACTAGTCATTTTTTCCAAATCTTTTGCATCCTCATTTATCCTTTCTTGATAATCTCGTTCTTGTGCTTTCCAATGCTCTAAGTCTTTTTGAATAGTTTTCTGCTCAGAATTTAATTTCTCAAATTTCTGTTCAAGCTCTACAGAACAAAATTGGAACATTTTTAGACCACAGGAAATACATTTCTGCAGTTTATAAAATTTGATATCTAGCATGCTAAGAATTTAATATTTTATTACCTCAACCCTAAGAAAATAATCTAAGCAAATATATTCAGTTTTCATTTTAATGTAATCAGGTGTAAATAAATTTATAATTTAAAAATTAATTTCATATTTTCTAATATTAAAAAAAGGTACCTTTAACATTTTTATTCACATCATTTATCCTGTTATTGATAGCTGCTAATTCAGCATTACTGTTCTCTAATTTTCTCCTCCTATCTTCAACAGAAATTTCTTGAAGTGCCTTAAAGTAACAGAGAAATTAAAACAATAAATAAGAATTTTAAAGGTTCAGTTTATATGTATACTGAATGTTCTACAAATTACTTACAGCTTCTAATTCTTCCTTTCTTCTATAAAGGTTATTATTCAACAGATTTTCAAGCTTGTTCTTTTCAGCCTCCAACTAAACGAATGGAAAATTATAATTCATGAAGTTATGTCAAGATTTTCCCTTTACATGTTCTAATAATTAGAGTTACAATTTTGTTTTTGCAAACAATTCCTAGAAGCAATCCAACCCATCTTCTCCCCCTTTCATTATTTCGGCCTTTCCTTTGTAACTTTATAACTAATTTAAATAGAATTTGGCTACAAATGATATCTTTGTATTTTGTTAGTTCTTTGGTAAAATATTTTTACAGTTAGCTAATCTGATATCCAAAACTCCATTTCAACACACAGTAATAATCAGCAGAGGAATGGGGAATACAACAAATTGTAGTTTTAAAAAATATATTAGTAACTTTATTTAAAAAAATATATAATAAGCAATTGAGATATTAAATCTTACATTTTATAATTTTAACTGTACAATTTTTATGTACACTTTCTCATATAATTATAACACAGCACCTTTTTCAAGCATATCAAAACTGCAAATTCGTAGTTATTATTAATTACTTATTCATTTAGAAATTTTCATGAATGTAATGACACTTTAACATTATTTTATATGTGTGATTCGTTTACTTAATAAATGAAAAAGAAGCTCTGCCTATGTAACTATGGGAATGCAAATGGATAATTTTGACACAAAGCATAATCGTAACAGTAAAACCATAAAAAATCATTTTCTTTCATAAATAATTATTTTCTTTCTCTGGTGTTTAATTACTTTATTTATCAGTGTAAACATAACTATTTTTTTATTCCCACTAATAAATTTGAGGGGGGAAAACACTGTTTTTAAAAAGGTATTCAATCAATTTTCTGATGCATTTTACTACATAATAACTAAAACCTAATATCTGAATCTAATTCTGAAACTTCAAATAAGGGATGATGAAAGAAATTCTTCATGATGGACTATAAAACATAATTATAACTTATTCACTGAAGTGTTTCTTAATTTTGAAAGGGCTTATCAGTGGCCGAGATGTAAAGTCATTGAACATTGGTAGTTTAACATGGACTTGATTCTAGGTGAACAGGCTAGCTGCATGAACATTTTCGTGGCTTTCTTAAGTGCAATATGGATACAAGTTAGTTTCCCTAAGAAAGTCCTCCACAAACACATACCTTCCCTTAGGCAGATAGCCATCACATGCTTTACCATATAATTAAATAAACTGAACTGTGAAGTCAACTTCATTTCATTCACAGATCAAATCCATGAAAGTTAACTATCTATCACAATTTTATACTTTCAGATTGCTGTAATACTAATGTATCTTCTTGCAATAACCTGTATTTATTTACTCCTACTTTTGTTGTGTTATCAAATTATGAATCAAAGTTTTTTTTAAATAAATAAAAGAAAATAATAATTAAAATAACAAAAGGGGGGAACACATGCCCCAGATGGAATGCTTAAATCACAGGCATCTGAAGCGAGAGAAAAGTTTCTGTTTACATTTTATAGCATGCTCTTTCTTCTTAAGAAATTATAATTGGTAAAATAAATAACAAATTAAAAACCTTTTTCCTTCACATTCCATAATCAAAAAATGAAAAATACATTATATCAAGTACAGTAGGTGAAGAATGACAGGTATTATTGGCCCATAAATGTTCTCCATGGAAGCATAAACATCCAGCTTTTATCCAACATGCAAGTCAAGTTTTTTAAGGTAAAACTTTCGTGAGGGATATGCAGCACCTGTTTTCTTAAACAAGTGAACATCTACCACAGTTACCTACAATAAATTTAAAGTAGGCGTTTTACCTTAGTTTGATATCAGAAATACACAGTCTATAATACTCAGGCAAAATATTTCCTTTATTCAAATGATAACATATTTCACACTCACTTCGTATTTTATTTATTTATTTTTTTTTTCATATTTCACTCAGCAGTATTTTAATCACATCAGCAACAACAGCCATTGTGCATATACAGTACAAAGCACCAAATATTGTTTAAAAAATAATTAAAGATGTAATGCTTTTTCTTTTCATCATGAAAAATGCAAAGAAGCTTCTTTTCAAACCACATGAAAAGCGGCAAGCCAATTTTTTTTCTACTAGTCATACCCCTTCCATACACTAAACAACAGTTACTGTTTTACTACCATGTGAAATCTACCACAATTTACATTCAGCAATCACTCCCTCTAGTCCAAGAAATAAATAAACAAATAAAAAAGAGAGAGAGAACATTTATTACATTTACTGAAGTTCACAGGGGTCATGGATGAAGCATGTAAGTATATGTACTTTGTTTAGGAAAAAAAAGGGGGCACAGTTTTATATCTCCTGTTCTACTGGACCCATTCACGAAATTCAACTTGCATTTCTTATGTCTGAAAATTGCGACTTAGAATATGCATTAAATTTATATATAACATTGTTCTAATATAAGAATTTTGACACAAAATAGGACCTTTTCTGAAATGACATGATAATTTTTTCCATATTTCAATTCTACAACTCAAATTATGCCTTAAATTTTGTAAAATTTGGTGCGAAATTTACGGAGAAATTCAAAAATTTATCTTCACTTTTTTTTTTTTTTTTTTTTCAAGTTTTTGCCAGTTTACTTGGTGAACTACTTAATATATGGCACCCTATTTTCCTTTACCTTTTTACATTATGCATGAATGGAAAAAAGTCACATCGTTCCTACTTTATTTTAACAAAGTGCCTAAACCAACCACATTCGATGTTATCACTCTCACCAAATATGCCAAATTTCAAAACGTGCCAACATATAAAGGCACTTTTCTCGGTGCATGCAAATTAATCTCTCGGGTAGCAAGTTTAAATGTGTTTCTTAATTTATTGTCTGGAATGTAGGAAAAATATTTCCAAATAAGTAATTCAAAATGGCAAAACAGAAAAATAATGCCCCATGGAAAACTTTCAGTCTGATCCTTCGTATCTCTACTTGATACCTTTATCTCTAAGAACAGACTTAATACTTGCTTTTTAATAAAGTAAATGCTTAGTTTCCAATATAATATGTTTCTTTCTTTTTTTCTATTTTGAATGCAAGAAGAAGTTTTCAATAAATATTACTACAGTTTTCAAATTACTATATATTAATACAAATATTTAATCAATCCCCCCTCCCTCCCCAAGAAATCTTATATAAAATTATATCTCACCCTCATTCTTTCACTGAAAGCCTCTTTATTTTCTTGGGTAAGTTTTCGAATATCATCATTAAGACGATCCACTTCTTGCTGATCTGTAACAGACAACTGATTCAGCAAATCTTGTTGTAATTCACTTCTTAAGGACTGTTCAGTAGACTGCATGGATTTCAGACTAGAATCAAGGCTTGCCAAACTCCTTTCCTGTAATAAAATTTGCTAAATAGTCAAAGAATCTTTTTTAAAAAGGCACTTTAGACATGATAAATATATACTTATTTCATTTTCTACAAAGCACTCACTTACAAAATAATCAATGATTATTCATATTTGTAATGGATACTGCTCCCTCTTTTCATTTATCTAGTATGATCCTGTTTAAAAACAGCTATCATTTGAAACAAGTAATAACATAACTTCAAATGAAAGTGTTTCTAAAGCTAACAAAATCTTTCAAGATTTAATAAAGGAAAGAGAGAACAAAGCAAGGTAAAAAAAAAAAAAAAAAAAAAAAAAAAAAAGAAGAAGAAGAAGAGTTTTTTTTTTTTTTTGAAAGGAAAATAAATTTAAAACTTGGTATGAAAACACAGAACATGAATAGATATTTGTTTCCCTTTTTTTTTTTTAAACTACGAACTGTGTCCTCTTATTTAGTAATTACAAACTGATGTTTATGTTCAGCTTCAAAACATAAGATTATAATAAAAATTAATTAATTTCTTGATAACTCTTAATTCTAACAAATAAATAAAAATTGGGTTCATTAATAAAGTGTTAAAAAAAAGAGAACATATTTTACTCCCGATATGTAAAAATTGGGATGCATGTAATATTAAAAAGCGATGAACTCTTTTCAAGTAATATTTTCACGTTTATTACTTTTAAAACATTAAAAACTTCAAAATCATAAGATTACACTATGATACTCAGAAGTAAAATGCCCTTTAATCCTCAGACGTAAATTATAATGAATGAGTAAAAAAAATATAAATATTTTAATCATTTAGGAAACACATGTACAAATATGAGTTGGGGGGTATGAAGAACCAAGTTTAGGAAGGAGAGATGTGAAGACAGGATGCTCCAACTGATAAGGAATAAATTTTACAAATCAACGAGTGCACGAAAATAAAAAGTCATGGGCCTGATCAAAGAAAGTATTGTTAAAGATTTAATACTGACATTTTTACATAGATTATATTCAACTGGAACTTTTCTAAAAGTCATTACTTGGAATGAAAACTGAATTTTCTAAGAAAATCATGAGTTAATACCAATGCACAGAAAACATTGTTTATGATCGAAATTGGTTTTATTGTTTTTCAAAATATTCTTCATGAAGATCAATATACATTTGCATGCATTTGAACCAATTTTCGAAGCACTTTTTCCATTTCAATTGAGATAACTTCAAAATATGTATTCTGAATGCGACAACCACTTCTTCGAGTGTCGCAAATCACTGACCACGCAATTTATTTCTGATCTGCGGGAAAAGAAAGAGTCACTGGGTGCCAAAATAGGGCTGTACAGTGAATGGACCCATCCATTTGATGTTTTGGTCTAACAAAAATTCCTTTGTTTGAGCCAATATGCGAGAGCATCATCATGCTGAAAAACGAGTTGCCTCTTCTGCTTTTTTCAAATTTCTCTGATGATTTCTGGCAAACAAATGGCCATGTACCATTTGGAATTAACTGTCCTGTGTTGCCCTAATGCTGCTGTTGCCATGTGATCGGTAATGCCGAAGAAACAGGCAACCATTTGCTTCGATGTGCTTTTGAAGCGAACAACTTTTGTTGGATTTGGCTTGTCTTTGTAGACCCATAAATGCATGTTTAAAATATATTCTTTAATATGTGTTTTAAAAACTTTAAAATATATTATGAATTTTTACTTTTTATAGTATATAAAAATCGTCTCATAATGTAAAATACTTTAAATTATAAAATTTATAAAAATCTTTTTTTTTTTCTAATGATTAAATCTTAAATTATTTTAATGCTCAAACTTGTTAGAAGTATTTAAAAACACTTTCAAAAATAAATCATTCTTTCAAATTTTAACTTTTGCAGGTATTTATTCCTGTTAATGTATGGCATTCATGGAGCCACTCAGTGCTTGCAAATTTGAAAGAGCTGAATTCTTGAACCGAGCACACACAAGTTCTTCTGCCCTAGCAGTAGCGGAGTCCACTCCCATTACACAGACTCAAGTTCTGTCCTTAAAGCCAACAGGCCTCTCAAATCACACTTCTGATTTCACCCATACAGGTCACCACGAGCAAGGCCTCTGCCAAAACAACAGTGTTCAATAAATAACCACAGCCTAGTGGCTACCACAGTGGTGTCCCTTGGACATGACAGGAACATTCACCTCCTTTATGTGCCACCTGGGGGAAAACTGATGAACTACATCACTTTGTGTTCAATGCAGTCAACTAGGCATACCCAATGAATGGACTTGGACAATCGCCCACCAGTGCAACAATTAATCAGATCAATGCAATGGGTTCAAAACACTGCAACAAGTCATCCCTCCTCATCAGCATACAAATGATGAGGAAAGGCATACAGCATCCCTGGAGCCACTCAATGCTCGTAAATTTGGAACAGTCAGAATTCTTGAATCTATCACACAAGAGCTCTTTTGCCTTGATGGTAAAGAATTCCACTCACGACACAAGCTCACGTTTTGTCCCCAAGGTCAAGTGACCATCGCACTTCTGATTTGACCCACAGATGCCGCCATGAGCAAATCTCCACTAAAACATCAAACCAGTGAACAGCTAAAAGAATTGGAAATAATTAAATGTGCAGAGTTTGATAAAATATTTTAAATCTGTTCTGTACGGATATTAAACGACTATATGGCTGTGGCGTTCCGACAGATACTTCAACTTCTATTCATGAGATGGCGCCACGTGTAAAATCCAGTTCTTAATCGCAGCAGCAAAGCGACATCTTTACTCACTCAGACTTCTCGTCACACAACTGTACGCGAAGGTAGCATGAACTGTAATCCGAGCTCTGTGTTGATCTCTGCAATGTAATTTAGTATTTAATATATTTTTTTGTTATAGGAGATTGTCTACTCTTATTTCTTTAATTATATCATGCATTAAGCACACACGACCACCAAAAGTGGTGACCTTTTGACTGAGCACGCTACTGACAATGGATTTTCAACGACCCTAAGCCACGTGCATCCAAGGCATTCTGAAGAACTGACTAAAAATAACAACGAATATGGACATTAAACGTATGCTACAACGTACCCCTTCAATTATTTCTAGAAGTATTGATATATATTGCTTGTGTTTTTTTCAAAGTCGTGCATATCATCGCAAGGAGCTTCAGCAAATCATCAATGTGATCTGTTCCGTTCCGCTGACTTCGCCAGTCGTGCAATAATTCTTCGATCATTCAACTTTTGTGACAAATGTGATACAATAGTGATTTTCGCTAAATGTGCTACATCAGTAATTTTTCTGCAACGTGCTACGGCAAAATTCTTCCCTCAGTGTTCGAAAGTAGTGAATTTTTTTTCCCATGTGCTACAGGAGTGATTTCCTTTTTTTCCTTCGAAAGTGCCTTAGCAGTGTGAAGTGGTGATTTTGTGTGTGCGCAATACAAAATGAACGCATCATTTTTTCTCAAATAAGGGTTTCTTTTCAAATGCATTTCGGTAAAATATTATTTGTGTGTGTAATTGCTGACCCTGTCTTATTTGTGTGTGTATCGTTACGTAAATTTTTTCTGCATGGTTAAAATATTTATTGTTATCATGGTAAAATATCAATAGTGTATCTTCATGCTACAATATTTGTGCTGTTAAGTGTTTATTAATTAAAGTGAAAATTATCTATCAGTATGCCCGACGATATTCCACCAGAGCCACAAATCACACGCGTTGCGGTGAAGCCACCGCCTTTCTGGAAAAATAATCCTTCATTGTGGTTCGCTCAGATCGAAGCACAATTTTCTATCGCTCGCATTAGTGAGGATTCTACAAAATTCAACCATGTAGTTGCAGCAATTGAGTCTGATATTCTGAATTCAGTGCATGACTTAATTCTCAAACCACCTGATTGTGATAAATACTCCAAACTGAAACAGCGGCTCATTGAAATCTATTCAGAAAGTGAATCTTCAAAAATACGTACTTTACTACAAGGACTTGAACTTGGAGATCAGCGACCTTCATACTTGCTGTCACGAATGCGTGATCTGGCAGGAAGCCATTTTAGTGACGACTTGTTGAAGTCACTATGGCTTTCGCGTCTCCCTAATAACATACAAATAATTCTTGCTGCTTCCAATGAAGATCTAACCCGTTTAGCAGCAATGGCTGACAAAATTAATGAACTTGTTACTCCAGCTTATGTCAGTGCTGCTAATGCTGCACCTTCCAGTTCATCCCTCGAACAACAAGTGGCTGAATTGACCAAAAAAGTATCTGAACTCTCTACAAGTCTTCATGCTTCACGGAGATACAATCGATCAAATCAGGGCCCACGTAATAAATTTCGTGCCCGAAGCAGGAGTCCATCTCGTCTTAATACTCGAACGCAGTACAAAGAACCCACAAGTGGCATATGTTTTTATCATATGAATTTTGGCTCTCAAGCTCGCAAGTGTGCCCCTCCATGCACTTTTGTACAAGCGGGAAACTAAATGGGCGGTCTTCTGCTGGCCAACAGAATGTCCGCCACATCGACAGAATAGTACTGGCTGATCGTTCAACTCAGTTATGTTTTCTAGTAGATACTGGAGCTGACATATCAGTGCTCCCGAGAACTAAAACAAATGCTCACCAACTTAATAAACTTGTACTGTATGCAGCCAATGGTACCCAAATTGCAACCTACGGCACCAAACTATTGACACTTGATTTAAACTTGCGCCGGACTTTCAACTGGCCTTTTATTATTGCGGATGTAACTCAAGCAATTATTGGTGTCGACTTCTTGACACATTTCCACCTTCTAGTGGATGTCAAGAATAATTGCTTAATTGATGCTACAACTCAGCTGACATCACACAGGGCCAAGCTTCTCACATATCGAACGTACCTACCAACATAAGTGTTTTTATCGGGCAGCACACACGGTTTCATCGGTTATTAGCAGAATTCCCTGACATTTTAAACCCATCCAAATCAGGGCAGCATACTCATCAGCCAGAAGTGTATCATCACATTGAAACACATGGCCCACCTGTATTTTCCAAGCCTCGTCGTCTTTCTCCAGAGATGCTAAAAGCTGCTCGCAAAGAATTTGAATTCATGCTAGCACAGGGAACCATTCGCCCATCTAAAAGTCCATGGGCCAGTCCACTTCACATGGTTAAAAAGTCTAATGGTGACTGGCGGCCTTGTGGAGATTATCGTCGACTTAATGCCGTCACAGTCCCTGACAGATATCCAGTCCCACATATCCAAGACTGTACCCATCTTTTTCATGGAACAAACATATTTTCTACCCTCGATCTTGCCAGAGCATATCATCAGATCCCAGTGCATGCTGAAGATGTGCCCAAGACCGCAGTGACTACACCATTTGGTCTCTTTGAGTACTTATATATGCCATTTGGCCTTCGCAATGCTGGCCAAACATTTCAGCGTTTCATACACCAAGTACTGTCTGGGCCTCGATTTCTGCATCCCATATTTTGATGATATCCTGGTTGCATCTACAGATGCGGAAGAACATTTTCAACATCTGCGTCAGATTTTCACTCGCCTTAAAGATCATGGATTAAAACTAAATCCATCCAAATGTGTACTTGGTCAACCCTCAGTTTCCTTTCTTGGATGTCTTATCTTATCACCCAGAACGGAGTCAAACCTTTACCGGAAAGAGTCAAAGCAATTAACGACCTACCTCACCCCAGCCCAAAACCATCTCTGAACTGAAGCGTTTTCTAGCAATGTTAAATTTCTACCGACGCTTTCTGCCAAATGCCGCAAAAACACAACAAGCCTGCCTACATGAGTTTCTGAAGAATAGCAAAAAAAAAAAAAACGATCAACGAGCTGTCCCTTGGACTGAATCTGCATCTGCAGCATTCGTGCAATGCAAACACGATCTGGCAAATGCAGCCACACTTTCTTATCACTCACCTAGTGATCAGCTCTCTATAATGGTAGATGCATCTGACACGGCCATAGGAGCAGTGCTTCAAGCCCATACCACTAAAGGACTTTCCCCAATGGCATTCTTCTCCAGAAAACTTACTACTGCAGAAAGGAAATACAGCACATATGACAGAGAGCTACTTGCTGTGTACTGTGCTGTTAAATACTTCCGGCACAACTTGGAAGGACACGACTTCATCATTTTCACCGATCATCGACCATTAACCTTCGCTTTTAGAAAAAACTCTGACTCATGTTCTCCTCGTCAGCTTCGACATCTGGATTTCATCGCCCAGTTTAGTACAGATATCAGATATGTCTCTGGTACTGATAATTGTGTCGCTGATGCCTTGTCTCGGGTAAACAATATCAACCTCACTACCCCAGATTTCTCTGAAATTGCAAAAGCTCAATTGCATGATGAGGAACTCAAGAACCTAATCTCAAATCCACAAACCTCCCTTCAGTTACAACCGCTGCACATTGATCCAACGCTTAAAATTTACTGTGACATAGAGAACAATAGAATACGTCCCTATATTCCTGTCAATTTTAGACGTGAAGTGTTTAATGCCTTGCACAATTTGGCACATCCTGGAATCCGTGCCACCAAAAAGCTGATCGCAGACAGATTTGTCTGGCCAGCGATGAATCAAGACATCACAGAATGGACTCGTTCATGTATTAGATGTCAACGGTGTAAAGTATCCCGTCACACTCACAGTCCCATTCAACAATTTAACCTTCCAGCAAGACGCTTTGATCATGTGCACTTAGACTTGGTTGGCCCATTGCCTCCTTCAAATGGTTACACTTACCTCCTCACTTGTATTGATCGGTACACAAGATGGCCTGAAGCCATTCCTATTGAAAATATATCCGCTGAAACTGTAGCTCGAGCATTCATCTCCCAGTGGCTTTCAAGATTTGGCATGCCTACCACCATCACTACTGACCAAGGCCGACAATTTCAATGTCACTTGTTCGCATCCCTCACCTCTCTTCTTGGCATTCGCCATATTCGCACAACACCATACCATCCATCTGGAAATGGGATGGTGGAACGCTTTCACACCGATCTCTCAAACAAGGTCTGAAGTGCCACAGTAGCACACACTGGACAGAAGCCTTACCTTACCCCTAGTCTTGCTTGGTCTTCGCACAGCATTCAAAGAAGACATTGGTAGCACTTGTGCTGAAATGTTATATGGTGCAACCCTCCGTCTGCCAGGTGAATTCTTTCACCCAGAATCTACTCCAGTTATCGACCCTCCAACATTCCTTCAACGTTTACGTGAGACCATGAGCAATATCTCGCCAACCCCAGCATCTTCGCATAACCAGCCAAGCTATTTTGTACATCCTGCGCTTGAGACATCTTCGCACGTATTCGTGCGCAACGATGCAATTAAGCCAACTTTAACACCTTCATATGATGGTCCATTCAAAGTTGTCAAACGAACACCGAAACATTTCACCATCATCTGCAATGGCAAACAATCAGTGATTGGAATCGATCGTCTCAAACCAGCATTTCTAATGCAAGATCCAACAACTTCCTCATCAACATCACTCCCGGAAGAAAGCTTACATCCCGTTAAAGAGCAACCTAAAACTACCAGATCTGGAAGAAAGGTTAAATTTAACCCAAAGTACTTATAACGTACCGATGGTACTTGGGGGGGGAGTACTGTGGCGTTCCGACAGATACTTCAACTTCTATTCATGAGATGGCGCCACGTGTAAAATCCAGTTCTTAATCGGAGCAGCAAAGCGACATCTTTACTCACTCAGACTTCTCATCACACAACTGTACGCGAAGGTAGCATGAACTGTGTTCCGAGCTCTGTGTTGATCTCTGCAATGTAATTTAGTATTTAATATATTTTTTTGTTATAGGAGATTGTCTACTCTTATTTTCTTTAATTATATCATGCATTAAGCACACACGACCACCAAATGGCTAAGAAAAGTAAAGGAAAAGGCTCAGCTATGCAATGATTTAACTGCTGGACATAACTCATTTGACATAATGCACTAATTCATATTCATGAATATATTCCTAGCACTTTGATTGCATAATACATTATTCTAAGAAGATACTACACCTTATCACTGAAAGACTTTTTTCTCAATTTGTTAAAATTAATTTTAATTAAACAACGGCGAGTCATTCAATGATATATATATGTTTCAGGTAGGATTTAGCTTTGTAGTTATTATTCAATTTTATTTAACAAGTTACAGAATTAACTATTTATTACAATATTCAATTTTATACAAATGTTCCAAAAAAATGTATGAGCAGATCAGAAGTTTAGAAATCTTGAAAAAAGTACTTTGAGAGAACAAAATCCGAAGAGTTTTAATTAAATGAAAAAATTTTAGCAACTATAATGAAATTACATTTACCAAAAGGTGCTGAAATGACATTTTCACAATAGTCACAAAAAGGGGAGTTTCCTGCAAATGCTAGGGCATTGGTAAGACTGCAGTATGATGGCCTTATGACCTAACCTCCTATGTTTTTGCAACAAAATTGCACGTTTGTAATGATATGAAAGCAATGTCTTGGCATCACAAGAAGTGCAGATGATAGCACCAAGTTGCCATTTTTAAACCGGTTGCAATAAAGCTGAATTTTTTGGATATCTGAGAGTCTTAAACATGACATGATGCAATATCATACACAACAAGATATCTACGTCATTACTATGTCAGTGTGCTACTTGGGCCACTTGTTATTTCACTACTTATTTATACTCACTACTTATTTCTTTCACGAGATGAACCATTCATGCAGCTCGTTATCATACAGATATACAGGAAATGAAAGCATCTAAGGCAATATGCATTAAAAAACAGACACTGAGTGCTATTGCTTCAGAATAACACTCAAACACGTATGGCAATGTCAATCATGCAAAAAAAATCAGTAAAGTGGAATATGACAATGTTCACCATCCTCCATACTGTATTGGCATTTCCCTGATAGACTACCATTTCAACTGATGCATAAGCCATTTTGTATCTCAACAGTGAAGCTGTGTGAAGCAGGAAACCATATGACAATGTCTGTTAAGGAGACATAATTTACTACAAAAGCAAAGAAGGATGCTGCTGAAAAGTTTTCTGCAATAAATGCTCTGACAACAATACATCAGTTTAGTTGGTAGTGCAAGGCCTTCCTTTTTATTATCTTCTTTCTCAGTCCTCAAAATTGTGACATTTATTTGTAACAACCCAATGCTAAAATACTTTTACTTCCTATACAAAGTAATGATAGAAAATGTAAATTACAATTAAAATACACTTAACAAAATAATCAATATAGCAATAAAACATTGAGTTAAAATCAAAATCTCAAAAATTTGATTTTTAAATTTTATAAGACAAACAGCAGAAAGCATGAATATTAATTGTAATTTCATACTGCTTACACTTTTCAGATATAACTATTCTAGAAACAAAAATTCCATTACAAAGAATGAAACTACTTTTACATCATAATGAACAGTATAAATACCTTTGGCTGATGGGATCTTTCTAGAGCTGCAACTTCTTCTTTCATCAATCGTATGTCAGCTTTTAACTTATCAAAAACATCCCTAAAACACAATTAAATTTTTTAAATACAAATAGTAAACCTATAAAAAGAAATACTTAAAAACTAATTTCACTGATATACAGAAGTATAGCTGCAGAAATTGTTTGTTCACCTTAAAATTCAAAGTTTGCTTAAAAATTATTAAAATACTTAATGCATTTTAAGAAACAGAAAGGTAGTCTTCTAGAACAAATAACATTGGAGATAAAAGACTGCTTTCCTATCTCTTGAAATATACAAGATCATAAAGTAAAATACTGTTGCCAACCTTATGTATACCTTGATATATATATATATATATATATATATATATATATAATGGACATACTAAACAAACAGTTTCTAAGAGGTTTTCGTGCTACATGATGGCAGCATATCAAACATCTCTAAATTTATTTAATTTGCTTTACAGTACACGATTTGAGTTAATGAAGTACTTATAATGCAATTCTAAATGAAAAATATTAATCTTTAAATGGTTAACCTAAATTTTATATTCTTTGGTTAATTTCTATTCATAATTTTTCAAGTTAATTTCTATTCATAATTTTAATATTAAAAAAATCATGAGAGGGAAGGAAAGCTTTTATTTACCAAACTACTTTTAAATACAAAGAAAATAAAATTAATAATCAATTGTTTCCTGTCGACTACAAAAACTAATATATACGCGGTGCTACCACTTAGTCAACTATTCATACACAAAGAAATAAGTGAAAAAAGTTTCAGGAGGTCTAACCACATCTTGCTCCACATTTAGCAATAAATGTGAAATCTCCATACTAGACCATAATTCCTTTAATCTTATTTAATGAAGGTGAAGGAAATATCTGTCTTAGCTCCCAGAAAAAAGTTTATATACATATTATTCTACAAATACACTTACTAATGTACCATTTATTAATGTACCGTGTAAAACAAAATTAATATAATTATTAACCAATCAAGTATTAGTTGAATCTTCATAAAAATTCAGCAAATGTGTACAGTAGATGAAGATAATTCAGATCAAATAAAACTTAATTAGAAAAATTAAGCTGAAAATGGCAAGAGGTTAAAGAAAGAAAGAAAAAAAAAAAAAAAAAAAAAAAAAAAAAAAAGAGGAATTGGCATAATTTAAGTTTCTTTGATCCCCAGCCCCCCAAAAAATCATTTATTGCTGGCAAATATTTTCTTCAGTAAAAGCAAAATATTTTACTGGGATAAAATAACTGGGAGGTTCAGTGAGCTATTGGGAGTTATGAATACCCAAAATATGGCTCTGAAAACCCTCCCACCTCTTATTTGCTAATCACACTTCTTCTAGCACTTCCAATCTCTTGGCTCCTACCAGTCAGCTAACTAGTTTGCTCCTTCAATCACTGTTGTTTCTCAAAAGGTCAGAATTCATTTCAGATTTACTTAGTTTATCATCTCCTACATGTTTCATCACTGAAGAATGCTGAGGATATTGAAGATATGGACTTTCATGCTTTTCTAAGCATTACACATAGCATTGAGTGCTTGCCCAGTGTTGAGTTATTTGTAATTGCATTCTTATTGGTTAAAAGTAAGATTAGCTTTCTGTCATATGTCCAATGCATTAGCTTTCGGTCAGGTCCAAATTATTCTGAAACTTAATCCCATTCTTTATGTTATTTTTGATTGGTTCTTTATTGCGTCTTGTTTATGATTTGTTAAACCACGATCTGTTGTACAGTTACATATACTATATAACTTCTGTCAACTTTTCACTCTCTGCGTGTATCTCTGCGTATTTCTCTGTAATAGATATTCGTTTTTCAAACCATGGCATTTTAAATGTTCAACAGCAGAGCATGGTTCATTAAAATTAAAATGCGCTGATATTTTTTCTAATCAAACCTTCTATGCCAGTGTCATAATTTATCGTTCGAGCGATTTTGTTTTGTTTTCTTCGTGAATGATGGCTTTTTCAAGCGGAAGAGAAAGGGAAGCTTTTGGTGTTGCGCCATTTGATGGCGTTAATAACTTTCCTGTTTGGTGTCGAAGAGTTCAAGCAGTATTTACTGCAAAGGAATTGGATACATTTTTGGAAACAGAAGCAAGTGCGAACAAAACTGCAGATGTTCAATTCTTGCACTTTTTAAGTGATAATATTGCTTCTCTTCAACGTGAAGACACAGCATGTAAAATATGAAAGAAACTGCAAGCTACGTATAGTGCTAAAGGAGCAACAAGTCAAATTTTAATGCGTAAACATTTAGCTACCATAAGAAAATCTAAAGATGTGTCAATGAGACAACATATCGACAGCATAATGAACTTGGTGAGTAATCTACGCATCTCTGGATCTGAAGTAAGTAATTTTGATGTTATTATTTACATTTTAATGTCTTTGCCAAAGGAATATGAAAATGTTAAGGCATCACTAAAAAATCAATCAAGTGATAATTTGAGTTTAGATTTTGTTACAAGCAAACTTACTGATTCGGAATCTCTCATGTTCAATTTTAAGAGTGAAAATAAGTATTCTAAACCAAATATGGACACAATTCTGTTTTTATTAGTGCTCGTAAAGAACTGTTTTGTACTTATTATATATATATATATATATATAAAGGGGGGGAGGAGGACATTCTGTTAAATTCTGTAGAAAAAAGAACTGTGTCTGCCATAGCTGCGGGAAACTGGTCATTTCAAAAGTGAATGTTTTGATAATTCTAAAAAGCAGGCAAATTCAAATAGTAATAAGTATGCAACAACTGCAATAACTTTTATGACTGGAAATCTTGTGCATGTTCAATTTATTATTGATTCTGGTGCAATTTCTCACATGGATTGGTTTACTTTAATTAAGCCTAAAACTGGAACTGTTAAATGCTCATCTAAATCGGTGGTTTTAGAAGTGAAAGGAATTGGTGATATTAGTGGCAAAACTAAGAATGGTGTTGAAATCATGTTGAAAGATGTTCTTTATGTTCCAAAATTAAACAGACAATTAATTTCTGTCAAAAATATTGAAGCAGCAGGTTTGTACATAATTTTTAAAAATGAAATAGTTTACATTGAAAACAAAAACAAATGTTTTAAATTTGGATATTTGGACAATATTTTAGTGATTTTCCACCAAATCTATTTACAGCTTTAGCAATAAAGAAGGATGATTTATGGCACAGAAGATTAGGACACTATTGTGATCAAAAATTAAAACTAATGAATCTTCCTGCAAAAGAATCCTTTTGTGAAGTATGCGTTCATGCCAAACAAAGTGCATTGCCTACAGGAAACGGCCCTCGTATAAAAGAATCCAAACCGTATATAACTAAACACACTGATATATGTGGTCCAATAGAACCTCAAACACTTCATGGGGAAAAATATTTCATGATTAATTGATGACTACTCGTGATTTATGGAAATAAGACTGCTCAAAAGAAAAAAGTGACATTGTTGATGAACTTAAATTATTCTTTAAATTGAATCCAACTGTCACAAAACTGCGCTGTGACAATGCCAAAGATTATGTCAGTGGAGAACTTTATGAAGTTGCTTAAAGAGCAGGTGTAAAAATAGATCCTGCATCTCCTTATACACCTTTTCTAAATGGTGTTGCTGAACGAGCAAATAGAACTGTACTGGAAAAAGCTAAAGCAATGATACTTGAGGCAAATTTACCAAAATTTTTTGGGGTGAAGCAGTACTTAAGGCTGCTTATATAAATAATCGACTCCCAAATAGTTCAATTGACAATCCTGTTCCTTATTTTCTGAAGTACGGTGAAAATCCTGATTTAACAAGCATCTGTGTATTTGGCTGTGATGCTTATAATCTTGTGCCACCATCCCAAAGAAAGAAACTAGATGAAAAATCTGTCAGAATGATATTTGTAAGTTATTCGACAATGGGATATCGTTTAATAATTTCAGAAACAAGACGCATCATTGTTTCCAGAAATGTTAAATTTAATGAAGAAAAGAAGAAAGTAGAAAATCCCAATAGTTCTGATTTGAGTGAAAATGACAATGATGACATCAAAAATGAAGACAAATCAATTTCAGACACTGATAATGGCGAATTAAATGCTTCAAATGAGAAGGCGGAACAAAGGAAATCTACAAGAGAAAAGAAACAACCAGTTAGGTATCCTAATCCTGAGACTTACCAAGTCATGTTTGCACAAGACACTGTGACATTTGAAGATATCGTAAATCTACCACAAGTAGAACAAGAACTATGGAAAAGAGCTATGGACGAGGAAATTAAATTTATGTAAGATAGTGACATCTGGGATCTACAAAGTTTACCCCCTGATAAAAGAGCCATTTCCTGCAAATGGGTTCTACGTAAAAAAAAAAAAAAAAAAAAAAAAAAAAAAAAAAAAAAAGGAACTTATAAAGCCAGGCTTGTTGCTCGTGGCTTCATGCAAAAGGAAGGCATAGACTATACAGACATGTTTCCTCCAGTAATTAGTATGTCCTCTTTACATTTAATCCTGGTAATTATCAATATTGAAGGTTTGCAAACTTTTACTTTAGATGTCAAGACATTCTTGATGTCCTCTTTACATTTAATCCTGGTAATTATCAATATTGAAGGTTTGCAAACTTTTACTTTAGATGTCAAGACATTCTTGAACGGTAAGTTAGATGAAACCATCTACATGGACCAGCCCAAAGCATATGATGATATGAGTGGTAAGAAATGTAAACTTATGAAGAGCTTATATGGGCTTAAACAAGTCTCCTCGACAATGGTATCAGAAATTTCTTAATTTTGTTATTAAATTAGATTTTGAGCAATTGTACTCTAAACCATGTATCTTCATCAGAAATCTAAATTGTAAGAAAGTAATTATGGCTCTTTATGTGGATGACTTATTCATTGTAGGCTCGGATGTAAAAGAAATAAACATTATAATATCATTGTTATCTAAAGAATTCAAATGCCAAAATCTGAAAGGGTCTCAGAATTTTTAGGCATTAGACTGAAGTTTGAGTCCGACTGTTTATATTTAGATCAGAAACCATATATTGAAATATTACTTGATAAATTTAAAATGTCTGATTGTAAAACTGTCCAAACTCCCACTGAACCAAAATCTACAGCAGCTGATTTTCAGAAAGGAAATGCATTTCATGGCCCATACAAAGAATTAATTGGATCTTTACTTTACTTAGCATATATTACAAGGCCAGATATTTTATTTGTAGTAAATTGCTTGAGCCAACTGCAGGAGCATCCTACTGATGTTACCTGGTGTGCTCTAAAGAGAATTCTTAGGTACTTGAAAAACACTTTAAATTTAAAATTGATATATAACAAGGGTGATTTGGAAAGGGCAAACTTATTTTTGTATGTAGATGCAGATTGGGGGGGGACATACTCAAGATAGGAAATTAATTACTGGTTACTTTAATAATGTTTTCAAAGTATCCTATTATGTGGTGCTATAATAACCAAAAGTGTATTGCACTTTCATTAACAGAAGCTGAAATAATTGCTTTAAGCAAAGGTATTGAAGATGTTTTATGAATAAAAAATGTAGTAAATGAAATTTCAAGTGATAAAATGTTTATATTTTTGAAGACAACCTGTCATGTATTAAAAGTTTTGTTAATGAAAACTTTCCAGGTAAGGTGAAACATATTGATATAAAATACTTACTTTAGTTTACTCGTAAGACTGTTAAAGAAAATAATATTAAAATTGAATATGTACAATCAGGTTTACAAATTACAGGGTTCATAGCCACATTTTAGTTAAAAAGTAAGCACCTGTCTAATTACATTATACACAACTGCATAACCTTAAAAGAAAAATTAGACTTGCAATTTAAAATTTGAGCAATGCAATATTTATTAAGAGAATGGGCATTACCTCAACCATGGAAAACAATTAACTTTTTTTTTTTTTTAATTTTAAATGACAGTTCAATTTACAGAATTAGTTTACAATGAGGGGGGGAAAAAAAAAAAAAAACTATGCAGAACTAAACTATATTACAAGATTTAATGATGAAATTTCAGTTCAAAATATAGAAAATAAATAATAATAAGGCATATTTATTGTATTCGCTTGGCACCTAAGTAATAAATACAACTTATTTTTCCACTTATATTAATATTAATATTTAAATAATTTAACTTGTAAATCAACAATTCTGAACATTTTCTAAATTTTCATTGCATAATATTTTTTCCTTAACAGTATATTGCAAGCAAAGTAATTTAAGTAAAAAAGAGGAACATTTTTTAAATCAGGAGACGGGAAATTGCTTCATGCAGTCATTCCTTGTAACAGTAGTAAAAGCTTAACTAACCCGCATACTCGGAAATAAGCCGAATATTGCCAAATATTCTGATAGTCGAGCGTAACTGGAAAAAGAGGAGCGGGGGGGGGAGGAGTAGATTGTAGCCGTTCTTTAGATTTCTCGGCTAAATAAATGATTTTGACATTTCGATATGTGCATCATATAAAAATAGACCAACGGAACTGAAAAATATTCTGCTTAGAAAGCACAGTAAAACTCTTTTAAGTGTTCATAAATAAATCTCAGACTGAACATCAAAATTAATTCTCTCTGCAAAGTACCGCAAACGTTATTGCGCAATACGTTCTTCCATACGTGACATTACGCAATTGGAATCAACAGCTGCCGCTATTCGGAGAATAAAGAACTAAATAAAGGAAAAGAAAGAGACTTACTAATCTGGGGTGTTTTTGATTCTAATTTTGAACAGACTGCGTTAAATTTCCGGAATAGAATCATTCTTCGCTTGGGTTGGGTAGACCGCAAAACTTTCAGTCCTATTCAATCCAGATTGGACAGTGACAAAAATAAAAAATAAAAAAAAGGCCGCTGCTTCAATATTGGAGATTTTGCGGAGAAAGGGGAGAACCTCCTAACCTCCGTACTGTATAATGTATTGGAAAAAAAAATATTATTCTGACTATTTGGTTACTTTCCTTTTAAGCCATTCCGAATATTATTCCTTAGAAAGCTAATCTGTGTAAAAATAAACCCATTTTTGGCAGTTTATCTACACTTCAGCAGCTACTACAACTATATTATTATAAACATTCATATATATATATACATATACTCATAATATAAGCATAATGATCATAATAAACACGAATATGAACTGACCACGCGGAACGAGAATGCAAATTATTAAAATCTTGATAGAAATTCAAACGTGTGTAGTATTTGGGTGGGAGGAAAAGAATACCGAATGTACCAGAATTTTCTACGGTTTTCGCAATTCTTTGACCAATAAATAGAACAACGTGCACCTGTCTGTACTCTCGCGCGCACCATAGGTTATGTTAATGCAGAGAAAGGGAGAAAAGCTATTTCCGGGAGTATGATTCACCATCTGACGTTCCATATAAGGAAGAAAAGTTGTTTATTTAGTTTCCGCTTTGGTACGGGGGGATGTGCATTCATTAAAAAAAGCACTAAAAGCAAAAAATAAGCACTAAAAACAAAAGATAAGGGCTTTAAAGAAAAAGTAAGCACCTATAAGGGCCTTTATATTTTATTTTAAATTATAAGGACTTATAAGCACTTGTAAGGACCGCTACGAACCCCGATTGATATAAAAGTAAAGTTTACTCGTAAGACTGTTAAAGAAAATAATATTAAAATTGAATATGTACAATCAGGTTTACAAATTGCAGATATGTTAACTAAGGCTCTGTCTAAAACAAAATTCTATGAACTGTTATCATTGAGCTATTTAAAAATTGTGTAATTCTTTTATCTTTTCTACGATGTGCGACTAAGGGGAAATGTTGAGATATTTGTAATTGCATTCTTATTGGTTAAAAGCAAGTATAGCTTTCTGTCACGTCCAATGCATTAGTTTTCGGTCAGGCCCGAATTATTCTGAAACTTAATCCCATTCTTTATGCTATTTTTGGCTGGTTGTTTACTGTGTCTTGTTTATGACTTGTTAAACCACGATCTGTTGTAAAGTTATATATATAACCTCAGTAAACTTTTTCACTCTCTGCGTGTATCTCTGCGTATTACTCTGTAATAAATATTTGTTTTTCAAACCACGGCATTTTCAATGTTCAACACCCAGAAACCTGTCCTATTAACTTCCTCTCCTTAACCTGTGAGCTGTTATGAAAAAAAGGAAGTGTTGGCAGCTGCGCTTTATGCCTTTTCATTATGAAAAACCAATATCAGTACCTTCGCCTGCTTGCAGAAAGAGTTTAATGCTAGTGTTTACTTTTATAAACAAAGATTTAAAGATGTCAAACGTTTCCTTTGTGAAATTTTTCAAAATTATAATTGAGAAAGAACAGTAAATTTATGATAGTTTCTCAGGATGTTTTAATTGCTTACTAAAACAAAACAACAAAAAAACAAAAACAAAAAAAAAAAAAAAAAAAAAAAAAAAAAAAAAAAAAGACGAGAGAGAGAGAGAGAGAATCTTCGCAAATACATATATATTCAGTTTCTGATTCTTTACGACGGCCACAGCAGAAAACAAATCTCAGCATTCAATATTACAAGAGGCAAATATAGGCCTGTAGACATCATTTGCTAGATGCAATGATTTTCCTCTTCTACAATCTGCTGTCCTAAATCTCCAAAGACTCAGCATAATGAATAATTCTTGCTTTAAACTTTTCACAGAATGCTCAGTATCTTCTCAAGTTCTGAAGGTGAAATTGCACTAAAAATGTTATTCCTATCCGTACATCTGCCATATTATTCTTGCATTCTTTAAATTAAAATGTTGCGAGTTGTTATTGGGAAAATGAAATTCATACAGTTTCACAAAAATGGTCTATTTTTACAAAGTCATCGAAATCTATACACATTTGTTATTTAACCTTTTGAGGCCAGGGCTTTGGTAGCAGTAAAGGCTACCAAAGGACAGGGAATCTTGAACCGAATGCTTTCCCTCCTTTAAGAAATCACCTCCTATTTGCAACAAAGATTCTTATGTGTAGTTTAATGGATTCTCAGAGAGGTGCATCTATGTCGCAAAAGAAAGACCTTTCAAAGAGATAAGTGGTTAAAACCCCAGGGACGTCAACTTTGACATTTCACCCCACTTTTCAGGCTGGAAAATGGGGGGGGGGAAGACATAGCCACTAAAGTGGATTATCCCGTCCTTTCAAAGAGAGGACTCTATGGCCACTATAATGGCCATCCCGTCTTCAAAAGGTTAATTCAAAATCTAGCTAATTCTAAACTTTCCACATACTGACTTTAACTAAAGGGGGACACAGATATACATTTTCATGAATTCATTCTATTTTTTTATATGCATTAAAAGTTAATTATAAAACAAAATAATTAACAATATTTAAAAAATTCCAAAATCATAAATGGAAAACATATAGAGAATAAATTTAACTCTTGCATGAAGCTGCATTTGTGATTATATTACCATATTTTACTAATGAAAGTTCATACTTGTTTTTGCTATTCTTTGTCTCAGCTTTCTGCATGTCACTAACAATTTGGTTAATCTGTCCTTCAATATGTATGCAAAGTTAAGAAAATTATTTAACACATGTAGTGCATACATTCATAAGAATTTCTTTAATATCTCATATAATATATCATTCAATTAACAAGAAATCAGTATTTCATGCAGTTATGCAATAGATAGCCTTCATGTGCTTTGCCCCAACTTATAGTAATAACAGTTTAAAATTATATATAATGAACATCTGTAAAATTATAAACATATAGTGAACCAGAGTATTAATACATTATTATTACTATTTATGTACAAAAAGGATATTTGTAAGAGTCTTCCTGTGTTGTGCAAGTTGCCTTTCTTGTTCATTAATTTCTGTAACAAGCTGCATGTGAGCTTTATGCAAATCTAGTCTTGATTTCCGTGTATCAAAATAACCACCAGTTAAAGCACCCTTATGAGATACTTGGTCTCCTGAAATTAAAAAGAAAATTACATATTAAAGATAACATTAACTTTAAAATGAAAAACAAGAGAAACATAATTAATCAAGTTACACTGACCCTCCAAAGTGATGCAATCCAAATTAGATGTTCGAGCAATCTGTGTAGCAACTTCCAGATTTCTACATATTAAGGTCTTTCCAAAGATATATTTCATAGCTCGTTCATGTTTAGCTTCATAGTTTAATTTACTTATCATGGGAATAGCATCCTAAAATTTCAAAAAACTTTAAATACTAGTTTCAGTTTACTTAATAGCTTACACTTCAAAAATCAACACTATAAATAAATTTGACTTGCATAGAGTATCTACAAGATAAAGAAATTTTATTAAAAGAAAAAAATATTTGCTAAATATTTTGAAAATTCATACATTCTGACAGAAATACATAATTTTAACAGAATACAGAAATAAAAACTAGAAATAACATTACAAAAATAGAGCAAAAGTCCAATAAATAATCTATCACATTTTGGCCTTTCACATCATTAGCAAAGCTGGATAATTAAACATCAGGATTATTGGACTAAAAATGTACAATACTACAAAATGAATTTTTTCCACATTATGAAGAAAAACGTGTTTAATAACAAACAATTCAGAAAATACACTTAGTAAATAAATTTATTCATAGTTTAATAACATTTAGCCTTTTTGGGGGGTGGAATCATCACCATTGCCAATGTATGAAATTCGTCCACATGCTGCATAGATTCCTCCCCCCCCCCAAAAAAAAATATCATTTAAGGCTTACTATTTTTTCAGTATTATATCTTTTTTTTAATTAGTATTTTTTTATTAATTTATATAAGTGGCAAATACAGATTCCTGATTTTTGTTGTTTTTGACTTCTGAATTAGTATCATAGATGCATTTAACATTTTACCACCCTGATGCCAAGTGATCTTAGTTAAATATTCATAGGCATTTTTCATTTCTTTTACTACTTGCAATCCAGCACACTTTGAACTATTGCAGTCATAACTTAATTCTTCCCAAACTATTACACTCCTTTCACATTCAATCCACTCAAAATATATATATAATATATATATATATGTAATATTAAAGCACAAAGGAAAAAGACGGAACACTGTAGATGCGCGATTAGATCCATATTGAAGAAGAATTTTGATTGCGTAGTATTTAAAGAACTTGGCAGTCGAGGCAGTTTTAATTCCATTTTTATTTCCAATTGATATTTGTGGCCACAATCACTTGGCACTCTAGTCGTGCCTTTCCACAGAAGATTTACATTTTTGATATTGTTGGGATAGAAAGCAGGCCAGCGAAATTACATCTTAGCACAGTAGAGAGCAAAAGCTGAAGTGCGTAGTTATGAAAGATGGAAGCACGCGAAGAGAAAAGTTTTGGTTTACAATTCGGTGATTGGTCGTCAAGAGGCATCTGGTATTAACGGTTACGTAAGATCGCATGATTAATTTGAATGATGCAATGCAGATACGTTATTACGATTTTAGAATAGAGAATAAGAATTAATGTTTATAGTTACATTATAATTCTGATTAATATATTTTTATCTTACATATTTCCCCCCTTCAAAAAGAAAAAGGCGTAGCGACAGAGAAGCCTTTTTAAAGAGAAAGAGTTAAAAACACTAGCAAATGTTTAAAAAAAAAAAAAAAAAAAAAAAAAAAAAAAAAGTCATCAAATTTTTGTTCTGTAAAGTATAATTTATAAAGATAAATTTTTTTTAATAAATTTTTAATTTTTAGAGTCATATTGAATTTTTCAGCATTTCAATCCAAAAGTCTTTTTGTTTGAGAGTTCACATAATCATAATTCATCAGGGAAGGTTTTTGTTATCACAGAATACCACAAAAACGTTTACATAATCATTACTTATAATTAAATGCAATGAACATAAATATTTATGATACTTATTTTTATACTGATAAGTTATAATTTAACATCATAAATAATAGGATTAAGATTTTCAGAATTTATAGTTTCACTGTTATCTTTCATTTACAACTCCTGTATTTTACCAACTGGGAGGCCTCGCAATACTTCTAAACAAACATATCCATCAATAGGGCTGTCCTCTTGAGCTAACCAGTGTGTTCTCTGCACTGGTGGCCCAGGTGCCTAGACAGTTACTTGAAAAGGCCCAATATACAATTTGGTCATATTGGTGTATCATCTATGCTAAATTTGTTATCTCCACAATATTATTGGCCAGGAATTGTTCAAGATGTTAGAAATTATTGTAAACATTGTGAAGTATGTCAGTTTAATAAGAAAAGTAAACAAAAGAAATTTGGTTTAATGCAAAATTTACCTATGTAAGATAAAAATATATTAATCAGAATTATAATTATAAACTAATGGTAAACATTAATTCTTCCCTGTATGTTCTAAAAATCGTAATAACGTATCTGCATTGCGTCATTCAAATTAATCATGCGATCTTACGTAACCGTTAATACCAGATGCCTCTTGACGACCAATCACCGAATTGTAAATCAAAACTTTTGTCTTCGTGTGCTTCCATCTTTCATAACTACGCACTTCAGCTTTTGCTCTCTACTGTGCTAAGATGTAATTTCGCTGGCTTGCTTTCTTTTAGCAAGTATAAACAGTCAAATTATTCATTCAAAGACAGTCTGTGTCTTGGATGAATTCTAGAAACACTACTTTCTTCAGTAGTAGTAGAAATTCTGCCAGTAGTTTCTTCTTCAGAGTCTAAAAAACTAGTACTTTCAATATCACTAGTCATCATAGAGGAAGACTCGTAACCATGGCCACTTCTATGGCGGGATGAATGGATGTGTTGGTTTTGCATGACCATTGATTCTAGTTGTTGGGCACCCACATGATACATGATCTTCATGAAAGTGCTGATCTCTGTGTTTTAAAGGTCGATGCATATGTGAGTGGAGATCTTTTCTTGAACTAATTACAGATTCAGTTTCTGTACATGTATCACCCAAATCTCTGATCCAGAGCAGTGGCATGAAAAGAAGGTGGTCTACTATCACCAATACCAACAGTTCTTTCTAGTGGCAACCTCAATTCAGATCTTTGGGACATTGTGTCAGTACACTGAGAAGTACTGTCAGATAAACTACTACCTTCTGCAGTAACAAGCCAAGATACAACTCTGCCACCCACAAATGGCAATTTTGCATTGTCATCACTTATTTCTTCTTTAACAACCCCAAAATCAACATGCATCATATTTGTGGACTATCTGGCATTTAGAGATTTTACCAGATATTTTCATTCTATTCAAAAAAAAAAAAAAGAAAAAAAAAAAAAAGAAAAGAAAAGAAAAGAGAGAGAGAGAGGACTTCAAAAAAAAAAAAAAAAAAAAAAAAGAGTAAGATAAAAATATATTAATCAGAATTATAATATAACTATAAACATTAATTCTTCCTCTCTATTCTAAAATCGTAATAACGTATCTGAATTGCGTCATTCTAATTAATCATGCGATCTTACGTAACCGTTAATACCAGATGCCTCTTGACGACCAATCACCGAATTGTAAACCAAAACTTTTCTCTTCGCGTGCTTCCATCTTTCATAACTACGCACTTCAGCTTTTGCTCTCTACTGTGCTAAGATGTAATTTCGCTGGCTTGCTTTCTATCCCAACAATATCAAAAATGTAAATATTCTGTGGAAAGGCACGACTAGAGTGCCAAGTGATTGTGGCCACAAATATCAATTGGAAATAAAAATGGAATTAAAACTGCCTCGACTGCCAAGTTCTTTAAATACTATGCAATCAAAATTCTTCTTCAATATGGATCTAATCACGCATCTACAGTGTTCCGTCTTTTTCCTTTGTGCTTTAATATTACAATTAAGCCAGCAGGATAGTTTCCTGCAGCCTGAAACCTCAATGGAAAATTTAATTCAGCTCTTCAAATCATCGTTTTGTGATAAATCCAAGATAATGTGAAAGAAGCGAAATTACATCTTAGCACAGTAGAGAGCAAAAGCTGAAGTGCGTAGTTATGAAAGATGGAAGCACACGAAGAGAAAAGTTTTGGTTTACAATTCGGTGATTGGTCGTCAAGAGGCATCTGGTATTAACGGTTACGTAAGATTGCATGATTAATTTGAATGACGCAATGCAGATACGTTATTACGATTTTAGAATAGAGAGGAAGAATTAATGTTTATAGTTATATTATAATTCTGATTAATATATTTTTATCTTACATATATATATATATATATATAGTTTTATTAATGGATGGTAAGACTGAAGATTCTTATATTAACCTTGGGTAACTTGGAATGATTGGTTACTGGTTCATCAATATTTTTTCCATCTTTGATATAATTTTACTTCATAGCATTTAGCCACAGTTCCTCCCCCCCCCAAGCTTCTTGTAACACTATGGTGTTTACATGTTTCCAAGCGACAATAATAATGAAATCTGCTCTTTTTTTACTGAACTGAACACTACAATAGGAGTTTTACATGGCCTGTACACATTTCTGCATGTGGAAATTAAGAATTTTAAGGACAATCAATTAAAAAAAATCAAGGACCTAAGGAAACAGGAACTGAATAAACTAAAGCAATTATCTAGACTTGACCTTCACTTTTCTAATTCCTCAGAATAAAATAAATCTGCAAGTAGAATGCATTATTATTAAACCTAATCTAATATTTAACTTAATTATAAAACAAATTCAACAATAAAAGCAACTTCAAAATTTTTTTTCAAGCAATTAGCATTAAATTACAAAATTTCTTGAAACATTTAGATTTTACACTTAAACCACTCCTACCTATTTTAAAGAAGATTAGTGACTTTTATTTAAGTTTTCAGTTAGCTTTATACCGATTCTTCCTTTTATGCCTCATTTCTTCATGTACTCAATGAAAAGGTTTACTCAGATTTAAGTCAGCATAAAGTCAAACTGAGAAGTAAAATAATAAGCAGCATGACTCATAACAAAAGTTCAGTTGTTGCCTCTGGCTGCTTACTTAGAGAAAAAGACCAATGATCAGAACACAGATGTGAATGCCTGACATTGCACCGGAAGTGATAGGTTGTTTTGTATTATTTTAAGTCTTATTAGTTGTAAGGAACAAAGTTTAATGTCAAATTTTATATTTTTGTGTTGTTTCTTACATCCATTCTAAGGAAAGACGATACCTCACTTTAACATGTACAGATAACTTCTAAAGGTTAAGAGTAAGTTACAAATAATTAAATTACATAGTTAGTCATAATAGATTTACATGGTTAGAATTACAATTTTTTGTTTCTTGAATTTCTAAAAAGTATCCATTAATAAAGCACTAAGAATATTTTACAGCAGTTGTAAATTATTATATTGATAGTAAAATATTCATATAACTGTACATTAATATATATATAATATGTATGTAATAAATCCAGTAGCAGGAAATTGGATGCGAAGGCAGATTAAATCTTCAGTTTTATTTTGAGCAACATGTTGCTGCTACACACAGAAGTCGGCACATTAAATGTGCCTGTTCCAAAAGGTTTGCATTTTTGATAACTTTGTGGCAAAAAAATAAGAGGCAGACAGCAGTGTAGCTATGGAAAGCAAGTGCGTAATGTTCAGGATGAGATCTCAAGTCAGACTTAGTTTCGGTTCTCATTCTGATTGGATGGTTAATATTGCTGTAAAATTATTATTTGCTGTTAAGAGTTTTGATTCCGTTTACATCACCAGAATTACGTTAGAGTCATATGACAGATTTTTCTCGAAATGACGCAGTGCAGAGAGGGGTTACTATTTTTAGAATAGAGAAGGGAAATTAATTTATACAGCTAATTTCATCTTTTACTTTTTCTTACATATTCCCCCCCCTCCCTTCAAGAAGAAAAAGGCTTAGCGACAGAGAAGCCTTTTTAAAGAGAAAGCGTTAAAGCCCTAGCAAATTGGGGGGGGGGGAAACATAAATCATAAAATTTTGATCTTGTAAAAGTATAATTTAAAAATACCAATTTTCTAAAATAAATTTTTAGAGTTCTATTGAATTTTGTCAGCATTTCAGTCAAAAAGTCTTTTTGTTTGAGAGTTCACATAATCATAATTCTTGAGGGAAGGTTCTTGTTATTACAGAATATCACAAAATAAAACTTTTACATAATCATTACTTATATAATTAAATGTAATGCACATAAATATTTATGATACCAATTTCCATACTGATAAATTATATTTTAACACCATATAATAGGAGTAACAGTTTCAGAAATTATGGTTTCACCATTATTATCTTCCATTTACAATTCCTTTATTTTACCATACTGAAAGGCCTCACAATACTTCTAAACAAACATATCCATCAACAGGGCTGTCCTCTTGAGCTAACCAGTATGTTCTCTGCACTGGTGGCCCAGAGTGCCTAGGTAGTTACTTGAAAAGGCCTCCGTTCCTTGCATAAGGTAACTAGCCTTTGAGAACTGCACTAATACATTCCACAATCAAAAAAATATATAATATAAAAAAACTACACACACATAAAATGAGAGCCTCCCAACATAATCTCGCATGAAGTGGGTAAAAAGAAAAACTGTACAGAGGTAATTACAGTCCTCTGTTTAAGGCACCTACCTGTACACCGTCATCATACTATATTTAACACACAATAACCCATAAATTTTAACATTCATTTACCATAATTTCATATTACTTATCTGTACTAATTTCACTTATTTTTTACATCCACTTCATTTTTAGAATAATTATAAAATTCATATTCAAAATTTTCAACAAAATTTCAAAAATATAAAAACTTATCTTAACAGCCTTCCCTAAAAATAACTAAAAATCTTAGAATTGCATATTTACATTATTAGAATTCAAATTTCTAATACCATTAAATTATATTTTTTCATATCATAGTGTTACATTTTTCAATATCAAATTTATTAAGGGAAAAAAAAAATCAGTTCCAAATGGATATTTAATTACGCAAAAGCAGAAGCGAAAACAGTTTTCTGGCACCTACTTCAATTGTAAATTTAATTCTATAACTGGGAAAGAACAACCTAATTTATTCGCATAAGAGCCATATTAAGATACACAGTTTGATGACCTTGAAAGCATTGGAATGATTTGAAACGTTAGGACTCGGAAACATTTGTCATTTTAACTATAAACAAATGCTGGATTAATTTTGCATTAGATTTCATTTTTAAGCACTCGTAGCAAATCTACGATTCGAATTTTTTGTTTCACATTTTCATATCGCCGTTGAATTACGATGCTGCACTTATTAAATCACCGTATATCCTAGATTAAATTTCGAAGAATGGATTTTGACTTAAAGTACACTTGTTTTGGATCAGTTCAGTGTAGATGACTTGATGATACAGAGCCATAGACTGACGGAGCCGAAGATATTTTGAAGATATAACATGAAGGCATTAATTAAGTAGTTTACTTTCACAATCGTAGCCACAATTTCGATAACATTTTTGTTAAGCACTGGCACACTTAGATGATTTAAAACCCTTTTCTTTTTCTTCAAAACATTTAAGAAATGGTTTACACTTCGTTTTCACTGACGTTAGCACTTCTGGATTTGCAGATCGATATACATTATGAATTTCCGTTACACATGGAAGTTTGAACAAATGGTTGGTTATTGTAGACACTGCGATTACATTTCCACTGGAATTCCAATGCACAGGACATGTGTAATGTTCAGGATGAGATCTCAAGTCAGACTGAGTTAGTTTCGGTTCTCAAAGCATTCTGATTGGATGGTTAATATTGCTGTAAAATTATTATTGGCTGTTAAAAGTTTTGATTCCGTTTACATCACCAGAATTACGTAAGAGTCATATGACATAGATTTTTCTCGAAATGACGCAGTGCACAGAGGAGTTACTATTTTTAGAATAGAGAATGGAAATTAATTTACTCTGCTAATTTAATCTTTTACGTTTTCTTACATATATACATACATACACTTTGCAGCTATTGCGCAAGTATTTTGTGTAGAATCCAAACTTGGCAGTCGTGGTAGTTTTAATTCCAATATTTTTTTTTTTTTTTTTTTTTTTTTTTTTTTTGCAATTGATATTTGTGGCCACAATAACTTGACACTCTAGTCGTGCCTTTCCACAGAAGATTTACGTTTTTGATATTGCTGAGATAGAAAGCAAGCCAGCAAAATTGCATCTTAGCACAGTAGAGAGCAAAGCTGAAGTGTGTAGTTATGCAAGATAGAAGCACGCAAAAAGAAAAGTTTAGGTTTGCAATTTGGTGATTGGTCAAGAGGCATCTGCATTAATGGTTACGTAAGATCGCATGATTAATTTGAATGATGCAGCTTACACTAAAGCGCTATTTTTAGGACAGATAGATGAAGTTCCCAAATGAAATAGAAAATAAAAGAGGTTATAGTGAATTAAATTTAGAAGTTTGCTTTCATTTTTTTAATCTTACATATATATATATATATATATAATTACAAAACAATTCTCTTGAAAACAAAACACAAACATGCCTATATAGATATGTAGATCTCAAAATATGTCCAAGAAATTAATGCAATATATTAAAAGTACATAAATCCAGGTATCAGGAGCATTTTGACATTAAAACCAAGAAATAACTTTTTCTCACGGCAATTTTGGGAAATTTCTGATTTCTTAGCAAAAACCTGAGCCTGAGAGTAATTCTTCTGTTACACAGAAATTAGCTGCTTTGATACCAAATACCTAGCATAATTTAATTATTATTTTCCACTTCTCTTTGATAACAGTCTAAATATGCATTTATCACTAAAAAGAAGAAATTGGTTTTCTATGCTGATAATCTCCATAACCAATGAAAATCTTCAGTGGTATGTAAAACATTGGAAATGTTGCAGTTAACTTATCCAGCTAATAGGAATTTATTCTATTTCTCTGTACCTTTCTAGATTTCGAAAAATTTTGTTCAGATTTTCATGCATCTTAATGATACAGGCCAATCAGGTGATATGTTATTTTTCAATTAGCTAGCTAAACAAACGTATAGTCTTTAAAATGCTATGAACATATATACCTTTTTGAGGAAAACAACATACAGTACAGGTTTGCATTAATATATGTGGAAGATTTGTGAAGAGTTCTCGAAAAAAATTAATTAAACCTATTACATATTATCATTAATTGTTAACTTCTATAGAGAATATAAAATTTAATAAGTAACAAATATGTATATTACAATGATACAATTAACAGTATACAAATAATGACATCAAAATGCATCACTTAAATAATATGGAAGTATAACCAAACTGACATATGGACCGGTAATACACAAATCCTTTTCAAAGAGAAAAAATCTTACGTGGACACTACATGACTTTCTTGATGGACTATTAAAATTATACACATTTTTTACTGCATTTCCATCTAAAATGTTATCGTAAACTAATAATATATATATATATATAATATAATATACTATATATATAACCACATTAAATTTTTAGTTAGTAGAATATAATGCCAGAAAAGTTAATGGCTATAAATTTTTTAACCAGTCTAGACACTAAAAAAATTGTAAATTAGATTTCAAGCTATACATCGGCTATTACTTAACCCCACTTTTATACACACAAAATAAAATACCAAAAAAATGTATATTATAACAATATTTTTATATACAGAATAGTAACATATAACTTACATTTGTATTTGGATATTGCACATCCTTATACATAAGTCTGTTCAGAGGCATGAATGTAACTTCACCCGGTAACTGCTGGCGATTCATTTCTTGTAAGATTTTGGTACCAATTTTATCACTCTCAACTATGTGATAAAATAATCTAAGGTATATATATAAAAAAAAAAAAAAAAAAAAGGAATAAGTAAACTTACTTGTGCAGAAAAATTAAATAACAGATGGAAAAATTTGAGCTGGTTATTCATTCCATATTTATAGTAATATGTATAAAGGCAAAATTGTTTATACTTAATAGAATACTTGAAAAAACAGCAAGTATTCTCCAATATTGAATAAAGTGCAGAACAAACCAACTCAAAAACAATCATAACTTAAGTTCTAAAAAAACTTTACTCACTTATTGCCTGATGTGACTTCAACAGCAGTGTAAATAGTCTTATCACAATCGAAATTCTCAATCAGCATTCCGTAATATGAATTGGCAATCTGCTCATAGCTTCCACCTTTATCACGAAACGTTTGCAATACTTTCTTTACACTATCTCGACCATTTAAAGTAGCCTAAATACAGCAAAGAATGAAAATACATAAATTATTATGTTAAAAATAAACATAAATAACAGTTTACTGGCAATTTAACGGCAGAATATTAATAACTAATAAATTTAATATAACAGATGCATGTAATCACACTATACACAGAATCATGTACTTGACAAAGTACATAAAATATCAAACATACATTATACATTCATTATTATCAATCTATACCCCATTTTATATAAAATTTGTTAAATATTTACACATATGAAACACTACATATGAAACTTGGGATGTAAAAAAACTAAATAATGTTTACAAAGATTTCATTCTTTATGAAAATAGAACTATTCACACAGGCGAAATTTTTTTTGCCTACTATTTTATAAATACATACTAATTTGAAAGTAAAATACTTATCAAGACCTTTACTGCGCACTATTATTTATACATGGAAATAAGTTCAAACTAACACTATTTGACGATTTATTGCCTGTAGAAATTAGCTGGAAGCATCTTTAGCTTGCAAGCCACTAACATTATACTCTGAAGTGACAGGCATTTACTTCTTCTCTGACATAAACTCTCATACAGATAAATCAAATGACAAGTATAGGTCTTAACACTTTCAGCAGACTACTGATTCACATATAATAATGGGTGTGCTAAAAACAGTTATAATAATTAGTTATTTCCAAATAACAAAAAGCTCTTTAAATGAGGATTGTTAGAACATCTGAATCAGAAAACCTTACCACTTAAATAAGCTCTCCCACCAGATTTGAGTCCTTCACACTGAATTATAGTTTCACAAATGTTTTGTAAATGAAAAGAGCATGACATAGTTTTTTTTTTTTTTTTTTTTTTTAACACATGTACGTCATTTTTTACTTCCTCATCTAATGATACCCTCGACCCACATAACTGTTTTGTTGAGATTTAGAAATCATTAAGTCTAAACTACACACTCAATATTAACATTCTGGTGCCGATAGATCAGTTCCAGATAGTGCTCTTTATCTTGCAGCTGTAACTTGAACAAAACTACAGTTTCTTGAGCATACCTGGTCTTTCCTTCCTAATCGACCCTAGCAAACAGTTTTCCAGATGTTTACAGCATAGTCACTATTCATTACCTGTTCAAAATTCCAGAATGCTGACATGATGTCAGCATTCTGGAATTTTTAAGGAATAATTCAATCTTTAATGAATGATTAAGTCATCCATTATGCTGCCATAAGATGTCAGCATAATGAATGACTTGGCAAGGCAAAATATGCATTTCAAGGCAGTCACCTACATATTACTGCACTGAATTCCCTCTATCGCTGAAATACTAATATATAACTAAATCTTTCATCACAATATGCTTACTATAACATTCTAAATGTTTTGTTACAGTTCTCAAATTTATCAAATTATATCACGTTTCTGTATACTATCATTGAGATAGATTTATTACACATTACCATAGAATGTACTTGGTACTTCTACTTGCTGTCGCCAAATACTTATAGTTCAAAGGCCATGTGCCTGACCAACTGCAGGTTTAAACATATTAATGTGCAACTTTCAAAAAGGCTACCAGGGCTGTGATGTCTAATATCAGGAAAGAAAAGTAGTACAGTTCAAAACTTTTTAATCAGTCACTGAGTTGCACTCCAAAGCTAAATGTCTTCTTATAAAGTCAAACCTAAACAGCACATCACTCTAGGTACTGATTAAAAGTGACACAAGCAAAGTGACATTAAAGGCATGTTTCTACTTCTGCATATGCATTTCTCCAATCAGGGAACGAATTCACTTTGACATCTGCAATCCGGTCGATGTATGTTGATGTACCGAATGATGTACAGAGTGTTGTCACCAAAAATTAATGGCGGCAGAAGTAGCGATGAACGCTCGCTTAGGGAAAGAATGTTTTGCGAAAAAATACTTATTTCTGAATTAACCCCTTAACTGCCGCGGGCGTATATATATACGCCTTGCTCAGCCGATGCATTAACTGCCCCGGACGTATATATACGCCCTTTCAAAATACTATCATTTGCTTTGTGCTGCTACCCGCAAAATTATTCGCAAAGCTTTGGAATGCAACACCACAATGACCTTGACAAAGTATGCGAAGAACGATACTATTTCAGAGAAGTGTGGGGAGAAATTAGAGAGAGGGATATGTCTAAAGAGGTGAAAGTAATGACTGCAAAAGGTTTGGTAAATGATAACAGCACTGTTGGCATTAGTGCACAGGCACTTAAGCTTTTTTGACGGAAATTTTAATTAAAAAAAAAAAAAAAAAAAGATTTGCTGTTCAGAAATATGATGGTTAAATAGAGGCAGTTCTTAATAGATTTGTAGTGTTTTGATGACATACAAATAATTGTTTACGAAATCTGTTAGCATGACCTTGGAATCCATGATAAAGAATTATTTTTGACTTTTGATTTTAAAAGGCATAATAAGCCATTATAATGATTCCAACCTACAACTCCAAGGGAAAAACCAAAGAATGAGGAATGGAAGAGTTGTTCTTTAAAATTAGTATTAATTTAAACAGATATATATAGAAGAGTTTGCTTTATTTTCCTTGTTAAAAGGGCAACATAAAAAAATACTACGCAGCGTATTCGGAAACTAAGTACCGTTTCATTCTAGCGCCGTCGCACCACTGTGGTAGGTGTTGGAAAATATAACTTATTGTAAACCTTTTACTGCATCATCTCTCCTCCTTGAAATGTTTATTTAGTTTAGTTTTTATTTTAATGTAATATAGTAGTTACTTCTACTTCTTTTTCTTACTGCCACTGTTTGCGTTGAGAACGGACTGTTTCAACCTAATTGAGATGCAAAAACGAAACGTGATGTTACGTCATCTGGAAAGCCGATTCGTGCCGATAGCTGATTGGTTGCCATGAGATGACGTCATGCCTACTTCTGCTATAAGTATCTTGCGTCGCTCTGGCTCAACCCTTCTAGTTCCTGCTTTCCTGGCACTTGGGTGTGCGGTTTCCAGCCCCTTCAGAAGGATGCATGCAGTCCGGTGAATAAAGTTCCTTGGTTCCTGTTCACAAGATGACTGTTCCTGAATAAAGTTCCTTGGTGCCTGTCCACAAGATGATTGTTCCGGAATAAGTTCCTTGGTTCATATCCACAAGATGATTGTTCCAGAATAAATTCCTTGGTTCCAGAGCCTACCATGTGAGTGACTGACGTGGACGGCATCCATGTTCTTAAATAAAGGCGGCATTTAAAATACGTGAGCGGCGATTCCTCATGTTCAACTAATGCAAACGGAGTTAGGTCGGTTTTGAGTGCTTTCAAGAACTTGATTTAAATTTCAGGTGTTTTCTCGACGATTGATCATGGACTTTTTGAAGGTGTAGCCAACTTCATTTTTAGGCCACATAATTACTGTTTAGGACATTTTTGTTTGTATTGAATGCCAGTGTTTTTGGAGACCAAGTAAAAATATAATTTGATGAATGATGGGTATATTACATTTTTCCTAAGACTCTGATAGTGTTTAAATTTATTTTCTGTGTTTTTATTCTTTATTATATTGTTAATAAATTGGTTAAGTTCGAAACCTTTTATTGTCTTCAATGTCTGCACAACATCATGTCTCAGGGAGCTTTTATTGCTACTATTGCTAAAATGTTTAATTTTATAAACTTTACTTTAGCATCAGTAGGCGTCCCGCGCATGCGCACTAGTCTTTCTTGTTCACTGACTTTAAATTTGTCGCCATTTTGGTTGCTCTATGTTGTGTTTTCAGTTTGCTGTGCACATTCAAAATGTTTAAGACAATTAGTTCTTCCGCTGACCATGAGATTCGTGCTGTGATTAAATTTTTGAAAGCGAGGAATGTTAAACCGGCCGAAATTTATCATCAAGTGACAAAAGTTTACGGTGAACACGCGATAAGTGATGGAATGGTGAGAAAGTGGGTAAGAATGTTTAATGCAGGTCGAACAAATGTCCCCGACGAGGCTCGGTGTGGTCGGCCTTCTGTTGTCACCGATGATTTGGTAAGGAAAGTTGATGAAGCAATTCATGAGAACAGACACTTCACAATGACAACTCTTTCAGAGGCATTTCCACAAATTTCATGTACTGTTTTGTTCGAAATTGTGTCTGACCGCTTGAATTATCGCAAACTGTGTTCCCGATGGGTTCCAAAAATGCTCACTGATGTTCACAAAACAAAGCGACTTGGTAGTGCCCTGACATTTCTCACGCGGTACAGTGATGAGGGAGAAAACTTTTTAAACCAAATTGTGACAGGTGATGAAACTTGGGTGTGTCATTTCACACCAGAATCGAAACAATAATCGATGGAGTGGAGACACACTCATTCTCCGAAAAACAAAAGTTTAAAGTGACAATGTCATCACAGAAAATCACTGTGGAAAATCTTCTGGGATAGGAAAGGCGTTTTGCTTACTGAATTTCTTCCCAGAGGTGAAACCATTAATGCGGCACGATATTGCGAGACTTCAACAAAACTAAGGCGTGCCATTCAAAACAAACGAAGAGGAATGCTCAGTAAAGGAATTGTGTTGCTCCATGACAATGCTCGGCCCCATACTGCTGGTGTCACTTGATCATTAATTCGACTGTTTCATTGCGAGCAGTTCGATCACCGGCCATACAGCCCGGACTTGGCGCCGTCTGACTATCACTTGTTCCTGCACATGAAGCGCGAGCTTGGTGGCAAGCGCTTTGGATCCGACGATGACAAGAAAAATGCTGTGGAGTCGTGGTTATCGAAACTGGCGGGATGTTTCTTTGACGCTGGTATACAAAAACTGGTCACCCGCTATGGCAAGTGTTTGATCATTGGCGGAAACTATGTTGAAAAATAGTTTAAGACATGTATTTTCATGTAAAAATAAAATTTGATTAGAAAAAATTGTTTTACCATTTTGTTTTTTTCCAAAACAGTACTTAGTTTCCGAATACCCCTCGTAATAACAGCAATCTTAATATGTTCACAAGTTGAATTTTATGCATTAAAAGTGAATTTCAAATTTTTTAGAATCATGTTGAGTTCAGAAGAAAGTCGGTTCCAAATTTTTACAAAGCAAGGCGAAATGTTTTAGATTTGCAGTATTTTCAATATCTTAAAGTTGATAATTTTAGTCTAGAAATGATTATTTTAATAGTTCATAGCTAAGAACAGATAAATTCAAGACACTGCAGAAAAATTTGAAAATAATTAAAAGATTATGATCTTTTCATGATATTGACATGTTGGGCATCACTTCTTGAAAAAACTGCTTTCTTATTTTGTCTGCACTGTTCATCTTACAAATGAGAGCAAATATTTTCAGAGACAAAATTCTTTTTAAGAACAGGAACAGCTTAACTATCGAAAATTCAGATGTTTATATTTGTCTTTATATAACTAACTATAAGACAGACTTGACTAAATTGACATCACAAATTCAGCATCAGGGAAACCAGTGATATTGAAGAGAAAAATAAAGTTCATTCAGTTATGTTTGTTTTTCATAATCAGAATTATAATCTTAATTTTTATGTTTAAAATGTAATGAGTATTGTGATTATTACCACACTAAAATTTATCTTATTTTCACCACTGACTTGAAACATCTTTTTAATACACACATTTTGGTTGATTTTGACCTGCAGCCAAAAAGACTGCTGATGCATACTCCAAACTAAACAGAAGCCATTACCTTACACAAAACAGTAATAATAGTACAAGTCAGATTTAAGTAAAAAAAAACGGTCATGGTTAAATGTATTCTGTGTCAAACCTTTATAATTCATACAAACTTTTCACTCATCTGTCATAACCCCATAACTGCATTATTACAACCTGTAATATCTGCAGAAGAGAGACCTATGATACTGGGAGGCTAATAAGTGAATTATCGGAAGATAATTTTTATACATGGGGTGGAACACATTGTTACTTTCTCAGTAAAGCAAACATTCAGGTAACATGAACAAACTTACGGTCCCTGTAGTGATGCACATAACTTTATAGGTAGTTTTTTATCAGTTAATAGAAATTACAAACTTTTTCAGTCTATTGTGTCATTAGATTTTTGTCATTTAACACGAACTTTCACAGTTTTTGAGATTAACCAATTTAAAAGTTCACTTTTCTCCCCAACTGCAACAAGTTGTCTTCAGCCTTTGGATCAAGGCATTACTGCTCTTATGAAAAGATCTTTTTGCAAACAAGTTGTGAGAGCTGCAACTTTTGCTGCTGAAAAGGAGATGAAAGCATGAACTTAAGTGTGCTTGAAGCAATAAAAGCTATTGGTGCATTCTGGAAATCCATGTTGTCACAATGCATACAGAACTGTTTTAGTAGAGCCTGGATACAAAGGCACTAATTCCACTGATTAATTAGATGGTGACAACAATACCATTTCATCTAACAAATGGAATATTCTACAAAAGATGATGGAAACCCTGGTGTCAGTTTTGAGGATTTTGTTTATGCAGATAATAAAATAACTTTTCCGGCACATTAACCATTTACAGTATATAGTATATATGTACTATGGTATATTATATTGTCATAGAAAGTACACTACTACAGAAATTACTGTACTGTAACTTGAAAGGATGATACTAACAAATATTTTTCTGGTGAAAAATTCCTACATATTGTGCTGTCACAGATGGGAATGAAAATGACTGGTAACTTCCTGGCCAGTTGCAGTCATGGCTTCTGTAAAAGTAGCAGTCAGTTTAGATGTTACAGCAAAATGTTCATAATGTCCAAGATGTGCGACACATACTGATGGGTGGGCAGAATGATATTCTCCTCCTCAATTTCTTCTAGTGTTATTTCTTGCACCTAAGAAACAACTACCTGTACATCGGATTTCACTCAGCACACATGGCAACCTGCACTAATGAACCTCAAAACTAACAAAACCAGGGTTCCCAATGTCTTTTGCAAAATATTCTATTCATCAGGGAAAGTGGTATCATTGTCAACATCTAACTGATTAATGGAATTAGTGTCTTATGTCTCCAGGTTCTGCTAAAACATTTCTGTATGTGTTGTGATAACATGGATTTCCAGAACATGGCAACAGCTTTTATTGCTTCAAGCACACTCTAAGTTGGCAGTTCTGTCTCCTTTTCAGCAGCACAAATTGCAACTCTCATGAGTCATTCGCAATAAGACTCCTTCAAAACTGCAATAATGCCTTCATCCAAAGGCTCAAGACAACTTGTTGCATTAGGGAGGAGGATGAACCTTTATCTCGTTTAAGTTGAAAAACTTTGGAAGTTTGTGTCAAATGAAAAAATCTAATGATGCAATGAATTAAAAAACACTTTGTTACTTCTGTTAACCGAAATTTACATCAACCAATAAAACTTTCTATAAGATCATGTACATTTCTCTTGGCAGCAAAATTTTTTTCATGCCAATCAAGTGTTCACCTTAAGCGAATTCTTCTTAAAGGGGGTGTTATTGTATTGAGAGTCTCTACATATATTAAATGAAAGAGTATGTGTGTCTTTTTGTTCATACTACGCGTAAGCTAATAGACCTAGGGCTACGAAATTGGGCATATAGGCGCATCTACACAAAAGCCAGTGCACCTCGAAGCAATTTTTTCAAATCAGATTTTTAAAATTTTATCTTTTTGATTATATTGCATCATTTTGAATACGTTCATTCTTTTAGAAACGTGGTTTTGGCAACAAATGTGGTTTTTCATTCAATTGTATACTGGACTGCTAACTGTTGAAAATCAGCACTGTTGCCACTTGGAAAAATTAGGGCGATAATTCTGTACAGTTTTTAAATTTAATGTTTCTCTTGGAATACTGGTCATTTGTTGAGAGAAGGCAACAGGAAGTTGGTTAATTTATTTATTAGGATAATTAATATTTGTATTAAGGGATATTGCTTATTCATTGTAATTTTGTTATATGTAATACTTTTTTTTTTTTTTTTTTTTTTTTAAATTTGTGGGTAAACATTTAAAAACCAGAGGAAGGCTGGCCACGTAGGTGCTAGTTTCCAATAAAGTTTGAAAGCCAGTTCTAAAAATTAAATATAACTGTCAAAAGATAATAATACAAACTTACTTTTCCTGTCATAGACCTCAAGCCTTGATCTTTTTTTGACAGCTCTTCCTTCAGCATGGCAAGATTTTGTTGCATTGCATTTTCTTGCCTCCATAACTCACTTTAAAATTAAAAATATTTTTGTTAATAATCATATTGTAATACATAAAAATGAAACCTTTGCCACACATGAAAGGAATCACTTACTTTCGTTCACTTTGAAGAGCATCCTTCTTTTTCTTCATTTCATAAAAGCTTTTATTTTGGTTATCAATGCTTTCGCGGTGATTTTCTAATTCTTTGGTTCGCTCCTAAAGAATAATTAAAATATTATTTAAAATCAGGTAAACATAAGATTTACTATATTCTTCAAATAAAGTAATTCAATTTTTTTTATACTTCAGATTTAAAAAAGAGAAAAAGGGAGGGGGCAAAATTCTCCAATTAATTGTTTTTATAAACAGTTTACATTTTATAACAATTACAAAACATTTTGTTTAATTTTATTCATATCGATAAAAGGTAATAACAGAATCAAAAATGTTCAATTGAGGGAAAGTATTCTACCTCTATTTTTGCTTCCAAATTCTTTTTCTTTTCAGTATCTTTTGTGAAATCTTCTTGCAAACGCTCTATCTACAAATAAAATAAAAATCTTATAAATATAAAAACAGAAAATTTAGCAATGTCAAAATATTAACTTCACTAAAAAAGTACCTACCTGTTCTCTTTTATCTCGAATGGCTTTTTGTAGAGACTTCAACTCCTTTTGGATCCACTTATCTCTTTCAGCTTTTGATGTAAATTGGCTACCTCTCCCTTGTTTAGCGTATAACTCTGTACGCTTTTGTTCTTTTAAACTTAATCTAATAAATAAATAAAATAGTTTTAGAAAATTCATTTTTTAATTTAGAAAAAAATGAAAGTACACATATTGCTTAAAAATGAAAGTACACATATTGCTTAGTCCAAAAGAACTAAGCAAAAGTTCAGTTCAAAAGTCAAATGTATTTTATAAAAATACTGTAACAACTGTTTTGGTATTATGCTTTTTTTTATGTAACTACAGATTTCCACTGTACTACAGATACAGCTCTTAAGATTTTCATCAAACAATGAATCACTGAAAGATTGTGATAAACATATAAATTCTTAAAGTAGCAAATACATCAGTCTCCATATACTTTTCTAAGAAAAAACCTCTAGCATTTTCCTCTTCATTAGCTAATACACAATGCAAAATACATAATTTTTTATGTAAATAATGCAGATTATAAACAACATTTTAAAAATTCATTAAAATCATGATTTAAATGGCAGTTCGCAATTAAAAGCATTGCTTTCAAGAATAAAAATATATATTGTTCTAGTTGCTTTTTAGTATGAATGGTTAAAATTATAATTCAAGTTTTAAAAAAAGTAACCCCCTCCCCAAAAAACTCATTTTGTAAAGTATGTTGCAATTATATGGTTATTAAAACTTTCATAGAAATGTCTCCTCTGCTCCCAGTAGCTCACCTTTCCTCCCCCTTTTCTAAGATGTTCAAACAGTTGCCTATATATCAAAATGCACACTAATTGAAGCTTATTCCTTTCGTTAAATATTAAAAATACTATTCTGGTAATAGATTATTTGTATAGGCAGCCCTTCTATATCAGACTATTAAGAATAAGCAACATTGCATGGAATTTTTATGTATGAAATATAATACTCTTAGCTAAGCTTTCTTGAACTGTAAGAAAAGTAGAGTATTACATTTACAGACTCACCTCAGATAATGTGGAAACTCAATAAACTGAGCATCAGATAATCAGAGTTTACTACACTTAACCTGTATGATGACCAAAGTAACCAAAAGATAGTGCATTCTACAATAAACATCTACATAAAAGCGTAAGTAACAAATATAATAACATGCGGGAAAATTAAAAAAAAAATATGTATTTAATAAATGCATAAATGAAACATGGAAAAGTTATAAAGCATAAGTGAAACATGGAATGAAAGAATATCATTGGATGTAATGCTATAGAAACAGAAAAGTATTGAAGGTCATAAAATAAAACCACAAGAACACACAAATACCGACAAGATATTTCCAAATGTAACATCAGCACAATGACAATTCACCAAGAGTTCCGATTAAGTTTTATTATGAGCACGCTTTACTAAAGTGCTCATACCTTAGGACACTTGTTTTATAATTTTTCATACATATAACATTCCTCTTTGCCCGATGACTGGGAAAAGGTGAACACAAACTTGTTTTCTTATCTAAAAGAGATTGAATTTTATCATTTAATTTGATTTGCTTTACAGTTTTTAGGTCTTCTATACATTTTGAAATGTATTACATAGTTAGATTTACCTATTTTCATGTTTCCAATCACATTTCATGTTTAATCATTCTGCTTTGTTAACTCTTATTGTCATTAGGAAAAACATACTTTAATAGTGGCTTTACCTGTATATATTCTAAATTGAAAACCCTTAACATCCATCTGACACATAATAATTTTTAAGGTTATGTGCCATGAAACAAACAACTTAACCCAACCTAACCTGAAGAAGTTTTTATGATTTATAAGTGATATAAATCACTTTTATATGTAATATAATGAACGTAATATGATATGTAATATGAACGTAATATAATGATATGTAATATAATGAATGTAAGTGTATATAAAGAACAAATGGAAACAATGCTATGTACTATTTAAAGTGGTATTTAAAGATATATGTATTATGGAACATACTGTTATAAATTTTGTACATATGTAAATAATTTTAATTAAATTATATCTTTTATAACGTAACATGAAATGCCTAAAAAAGTGAAGCTACCTCGTGAAACTAGCAAGAGAGTGCCAAATTGGCAGTGGTTTTTGGCAACTAATTTTTGTTACCAAATTTGGCGACAAATCACCAGTTTTGATCAGGACTTGTATATAACTGTAATTGGTTTAATTCCTGTGTAACTGTTACTGTAACCAGCCTTATATGTAACTATACATACCTTTCAGCTATTTCAAGAAATTGAAGGTATTAGAAATTTCTCGTGGATCAGGAGAAAACTATATAAGACCAGAGAGAGTGTCCGTTCTCAGTTTTCATAGTATTGAGTTTTTGAAGTACTGAGAGATCTCTGTGCAAGCTTCACTCTTCAGATGCACATTGCACTGCACTGCGTTTAACATTCTTAGTTTGAAGAGGTAACTACTGGTTATGCCCTGTCATACTGAGACGAACTGTACAAATACTTTTGTAAAGTTCCAAAACTGTCAAGCGCTTATTTTCAGAAAATTAAATTTTATCAAGCTATCATCTCTTATGCATGAATTCAAACCATTACAAACCTGTATGTACACAACAATATGAATCACATTAAGATATCTGGTATCGAATGGTGGTGTGTAGAAAAGAAGAATGCCAAGTAAGTCACCTTACTGGGTGGTTAGCAATGCTGCCTACCATGTTATTAGGGTTAAATTCTGCAGAAAGCATGGATGAAGGGTAAGATGAGACATTTAAAAGCATGAGAGCATTTCAAATAGTAGCAGTCAAAAATTTTCTTGGGAGATTCGGTGATGAAAAGAGAGGTGAAAGACCCTTGGATCTGTTCTTCATGCGTTTTCCATCAAAATTGAGAGAAAGCTTCCCTTTTCTAAAGATAAACAATCAGTCACCTCTTGTACTGCCCCTTGGTGAAACTCTCAGTGATCTGACAACTAAACAAGCGACAGATTTCACCTTTCCTCATGAACGTTTACTTAACAAATTGCCTGGAAGTTTAGAGAGGGCAGAATGCCACATAAATAGTAGTTACCTCACTGTATTGTTCCTAGTTCAGTGATAGAAGCATTATTATTTACAACCTTTCTCATGATTTAGATTTACCCCTCTGGTTCCCCCTGGGATCACGTACACTGGCTTAGTATTTTCCTAAGACAGCAGTCACTCTGGAAGCAGAATAACATGGACTCAGTTCCCATGGCCAGAAAAGGCAGCCAATACTGTTCCGGATGGTTGTGAATTCGGCCATCTGAGTGAGTTGATGCGACAGCCAGAACAATTCTTCAATAGGTCTTCATTATCTACTTACACCTGGAAGACAGTACCCTGAGTTGTCAGTTCAGTGAGGGTTAAGAAGAGAGAGTTCAAATTTTTAAAACTCCGCCATAGTGAAGTGGGATCCCATTGCAAGCAGATTATTAATACACAAAGCACACTAACTTACAGGGGCTTTTTTGATGATTTCTCAACATTCTGTCTAATATGGAGGTGTGGTGTGGTGTATTTAATTATGGAAAAGCACACTAGGGCCATCTGCCTAAGGGGAGGGATGCCTTTGTGGAGGACTTTCTAAGGGAAACTGGCTCATATACACGTTACACATGGGGAAAACCACGAAAACACCCATGCAGCCAGCCCATTCGCGGGATTTGAACCTCAGACCGAACTACCAGTGTTCAGCGACTTTACCGCTTGGCCGCCGGTGGGCTAATAAGGAGGTGTGAGGTCCATCCATGTAGTGCCTGATTCAGAAGATGGCAGAACGTAATTTAAATAGACTTATCCCTCTGATTTACCCCCCCCCAGAGGAAGTATTTTAATAGAAAATATCTTTTACTATTAGCAAGCACTGTGTTCTGAAGTCTTCCCTTGAGTATTTATTTACTTTGCTATGGTCAGGGGGTCTGCTTGTTTTACATACAGGTTAAACAACACTCCACAGCATCATACATTTCCCAGCAATAAACCCCTGGGTACTGATGATATGGCAAATAATAAACACGAAGATGCAAAATTTCAACTGGATCAGAGGTTACTGATACACATATCACTATCGATGCATATATGAACTGTCAGTGCATAAAATACGAGAAATATTTTGAAAATTGTAGAATGTAGTGACAAATGTCCTCATATAAAACACTGAATTAAGAGGACACCTAGTTGAAAAAGGAAACATGCAAATGATGGTGGAAAGAAGAGGAAAAAGACAAGAAATGTCTTATGTCAAGAAGTATCAGCAAGGAAATACATCAAGACCTAGATAATTAAAAAAATAAAAAAGAAGAAGAATTTGTTACACTCAAACATCAAAAGAAGTTAGAAATTGATATAATACATACCTAAAACACAACTTAGACTAGAGCACAAAAAATTAAAAACGGAGTTGTCTTAATTAAAATTACAAAAAATAACGATCTGATGATCATTGAAAATGCAATAACTGAGAATGAAAATTTGAAAGAACAGTTGGAGGTGAAAATTAACCCCAAAATTATGATACACAGAGTCGATCCCGCTTTAATGGGCAATGACATTAAAGATCTTGTGAAATCACAAAATGGCTATATGAGAACATGCAAATATTGAACCAAAATTCAGTATTCAAACAAATATGGAAACACGCTGGGTTATGTCTTTTGATCCTTTAGATACTCACAAAAACTTGCTCAATTCTTTGTTGGGAAGTAATTTGATTGTGAATAATAACAGACATAACTCACTTAGTTATTGATGTTTTGTGTACATTTAAAGAGGCTAAGAAAGAAAAGACATATTTTAGATGAACTAAACATCAAATCAGAGGATCTAAACAATCACAAGGCATTTCCAATACCATGGCTTTGCCCATACAAAGAGCTTTTGTTCAGGTGCCACAATATGTAACAAATGTAGTCTTGAGGAACATACTCAGGCAGAACGCCCAGCAAATGAACCTAAGTGCAATAATTGCATTACAGTAAACTCAAGATTTGGCGCTGAACTTAAATACAAGACATAAAAATACATACTATAAAGATTGTTCTTGTTGAAAAAAGGAAGCATGAATTTATTAACTATTGACTATGG